TAGTGACGAGTCTCGATTTTGTTCAGGCATGCACGATGGTCGTGCCAGGGTTAGAAGGCGACGTGGTGAAAGAAGGAATCCACAGTTTTTTGTTGAAAGACATGTTCATCACTCTGTTGGAGTTATGGTTTGGGGTGCTATAGCTTATGGTTCCAGGTCACCTTTAATCTTCATCAGAGGTAAGATGAACGCGCAGCGTTATATCCACGAAGTTCTAGAACCCCATTTTTTGCCCTATCTTGACACCCTGGCAGATCCAACTTTCCAACAAGATAATGCCCGACCACATGTTGCAAGAGTCACAATAGACTTCTTTCAACATAATGATGTCACATTATTACCATGGCCACCAAGATCTCCCGACTTATCCTTCATTAAGTACTTATACAAAATTTTATTAAAATAAAACCATTTAAACTGGGTGTTCGGATTTATATGTCACTTAGTATAATACAGCACAAAATGAGGTCGACAATGTGTGGCAAAATGAAGATGAGGCAGATAGTGACGAAGACTTGTTTGGTGAATTATCTGACAGGGACGAAGATTATGTCGATGAACAACAGTCTGATACTGACAATGAACAGAGTGATGATGGTGATGAAGTTGTGTTACAGAATCCTGGTATATCGAGCAGGAACACTGCTAGTATAATGGGCAAAAACGGTCATCGCTGGAGTACCAAAATACCAGAACGCAGAGGCCGCGCAACGAGAGACAATATTGTTTTACATATGCCCGGTCCTAAACAACAGGCGAGATTAGTTCGTTCTCCAATAGAAGCATGGGAGTTATTATTTAACCAAGAAATGTTAGATATAATTGTATTACACACAAATCAAGAAATTGTGCGTAAGTGTTTTGAAAACTTGCCACAAAGTTATAAAAAGCCAACTAACCTTGTAGAGATTAAAGCTTTTATTGGGCTTCTCTATTTAGCAGGGGCCCTTCGACTATCAAATACGAATTTAGATGAATTATGGTCAATAAAGTACGGAAATGGATTATTTCGAGCTACAATGTCTCAACAGAGATTTCAGTTTCTAGCTCTCTGTTTACGATTCGATAATAAGAATGGTAGGGCTGCAAGAAAATTAGTAGATAAATTTACACATATCCGACAGCTTTGGGAAATTTTTATTAAAAACTGTAAGTCGTATTACACTCCCTATGAAAATTGCACAGTGGATGAGCAACTTGTCAGTTTTCGGGGAAAATGTCCATTCAGAATATACATGTCTAGTAAACCCGATAAATATGGTATGAAAATAATGATGATGAACGACTCTAAAACTTTTTATATGGTTAATGCAATTCCATATGTGGGAAAAGTTAATGTAGAGAATAATGAGCCAGTACCTACTTATTATGTTCGGAAACTCTCAGAACCAATTCATGGAACCCACCGTAATATAACCATAGACAACTGGTTTACCTCTATACCTCTGTGTGAGGAAATGTTCCATCAGTATAAATTAACAATCCTAGGAACACTGCGAAAAAACAAAAGAGAGATACCCACAAGCTTCTTAGGAAGAAAAGCAGTTGGCACGTCCCTTTTTGCTTTTGATCACAACAAAACGCTTGTTTCGTATACGCCTAAGCGAAATAAAGTTGTGCTTTTACTATCCACTTTGCATCCTGATTCATCCATTAATGTTGATACTGGAAAGCCAAACCTGATACATTCATATAATGAAATGAAGGGAGGAACGGATAGTTTTGACCAGTTATGTCATTCTTACACGACATCACGCAAAACTAGAAGGTGGCCCGTGAGAATATTTTTCAATATGTTGGATGCCAGTGGAATTAATGCTATGATTACATTCTCTCTTGTGAATCCAGATTGGAAAGAAAATACTAAAAATAATCGTAAAACGTTTCTCAAAGAACTAAGTTATTCATTAATTGAGCCACATTTACGAGAGCGGGCACAAGTGACCACGCTGCGATCATATCTTCGGCTTAGCATTAGTGAAATTCTAGGAATGGATGCGCCACAAAGACAGCATCCAGCAACAGATTTGCCAAGAAAGGTTAGATGTGCAATATGTCCACGTGGTAAAGACAGAAAAACTAACTTTGGATGTTCTAAATGCTACAAACCATATTGTTTAGAGCACAGGGCTAAACTTTGCTGCCAATGTGAAGACACAAACTGAGTTTCATGGCTAAGAAATTTATTGAGGTGTATTTTCATTTTTCAACTTTTTTTATGTTCTATAATGACTTTTTAGACATTAAAAATGTATTTAGCTTTTTAAAAGTTTTTTGTTGCATTTTTATTGATTACCTTCAGTTAATGTGCAATTGTATACTGATTTGTAATATTCTTTGTTCTAATACAATTAACGTTGAACCCAATGAACAAAATATTATTAAAATATTTTCTTCTATGAATTATCTGATGTATTTTGACATAAAAAGTAAAAATATAATAATGAGGGTACATAACATCCAACAAAAATACTTGGGTTTCTCAGACCCCAGTGTGCAGTTTATAGGATAAAAAATAAGTGTGCGGTTCCAGGGTTTTAACATGAGTCTTGGGACCACCACTGCGGCCCCTCTAGAAGCATTCTAAGTCCGCCCACGTCTACATTAGTCCACACTACGTCACTGTGTTTGGAGTTCAGCAGATAAAGAATATAAGAAGCAAAAACTGGACATATCCGTCCAGCAACTTTAGAACGCAACGAGGGAATATCGCCCGTCAATATAATCAAAAAATTGCCAATAACTTGAACGGGTATTTTATAAATGCATGTCCAAAAGTTGAAAGAAATAACAGCGGCAGTTTCCCCCCAAATCGATATGGACATGCCTTTTTTTTATCTCCAACTAATAAAGAAGAAGTCATGAAAGTTACAACTTCTCTTAAAACAAAAAATCAGTGGCTATGATAACTTACCTGTTAAAGTAATAAAAGAAATTGCTGATTATATCGCAGAGCCTCTATCTTTTATTATAAATCTCAGCTTCACGAATGGGTCTTTTCCAGATCAGCTAAAAAATGCGCTAGTAAAAGCTGTTTATAGAAAAGGTGAAGTTGACAATCAGAAAAATTACTTCTTTCAAACAGTAAAAAATTTTGAAAAACTGATATATAATAGATTCATTAACTGTTTGGAAGGGCATTCATTAATTTCAGACCACCAGAACCGCTTCAGAAGAAATAAGTCTACCATACGAGCTATTTATCGATCTATAGCTAGCATTTTAAACTCACTGAATGATAAAAATGAAACAGTGGCAGTATGTATTGACTTGTCAAAAGCTTTTGGCAGTATTAATCACAAACTACTTTTTGAAAAACTTGATAATTTTGGAATTAAAGGTAATGCTTTGGAATAAATTACAAAACCGCACACAACAGGTTGTTGAAAATGACTTCGGGGGTAGGCTAATTGCTTCTGAAAAGATAAAAGTGGTCAGGGGGGTTAATTTTAGAACGCCTTCATTATTAGAGTCATCTAATGGCACTTGATGACCCACTAATTTCCAACCACGTTTTCTGCGACCATTTATGCTTTATAAAAAACGCTATGGATAGCCTACTTATCGTGAAAAATATATATTTTTCCAATTCTGAGCATTTTTCAATAACCAAACAAGGGAAACAAATATTTTAGAAATGAGAATGGCAAGTGAACACACTCTTAATACCAAGGTTTTGGGCACCGAAGAAAACTGCAGTTGTGACGTTCCAGAAGGGTTGCTTTATTTTATTTCCGAACACGTGGAACATGTACGCCAAAAAACTACAATCGCTGAAATTGTAGTACAAAGTACACACTGTAAGAATTGCTGAACGCAGCCCAGTCGGACAGCCTTTCTCTAAGTCAAATAGCAACAAATGGTACTAAAAAAGTGTTGCAATATAACTTAACAAACGTACGCAGGAGGCTGCATGTTGAGACATGTCCAAGAGTGCATAGTAGCCGCCAGCAACACGTCTGTTGATTTAGTTGTTCATTCGTACTGACAGTGTAAAGTGCGGACTATGGCATCGTGGTGACGTAGTAAGATAAGAGCAGTTTTACGGTATAATTTTAAGAGTGGTTTAACACGTTGACTGCCACCTTTTTTCAATTGGTTTTACCCAGGAGTCAATTAGTTGTATAATGGTTAATTTGTTATTTTGGTAGTATAACTTCGTAAGATCAGTTATTGAGATATTTTCGTAAAATGTTTTTTTAATTATAAGATTTTTTGTGGCTGTTCTGAGAGCCGACGGCACTGACTTACAAATCGGTTTCCTGTGTGCCAGCTGGCGCTTATAAGAGTCCGAAGATAATTATTTGTTTTTTAAAATAGAAATAAACTAAAAGGAAAAAAACATTATCGACCGTTAACAAAAATAAAATATTAAAAATAACTCAAAATAGTAGAGAACATATAAAAGTATAACAAAAACTTTTGCGGCAAACAATACACATAATGTGATAAAATCTAATCAAAAATAAGAAATGAAACAATTTTTTTTTTAGAATACAAACATGAATTTGTGGTGAATGCAGACTAGTTTTAGTGCAAAAAATTATTTGTGAATAATGTCACTGCACTCCAAGCAGAATCCTGGAACATCAGGGCATGTTCTACATTCGTACATCGTTTAGGTAGGGATTCCCTTCTTGCTACAAGACTGGCATCTTTTTCTGGATACTTGTTTTTTACCATCTAAATTACGTTTTACTAATTTGTGACCTTGAGTGCCTGCCAGTATTGTACCTTGGCTCTGATAAAAGTCAGCGGCACCGGCGAACATCTCGCGTTGACTTATAAGAGCCAGCGGCAGCGAACGTGTTAAGGTCTGGTTTTGGCGGATGAAGAAATGTATTGAATGTGTTGAAAATAACTTTGAAATAACTCTGTATGACAAAACTTTTATACTACCCTTTGCAATATCAACGTCACAATGTAAGCTCTTAAAAATAACTAAATAAGCTTTTGAGAATCGAGCTAGTGGCAGTGAGGTTTCGTAAATAAAAGACAACTTTAAAAACAGATGTTTACTTAATTTTTTCCAGAACGTGATTATAGAAAAATATATATATTTTATCTTGAACATGATACCTAAGAACTACGAATAATAAATCGGAAGAATACAAATAACTTAAAACATGATATTATTGAGCACTTTGCGATCAGCCTACAACTGTCGTATGACATATCTCAAATATTTCGGAGAACCGATGTTCATTTTTCAAAATATCGCTTGGGAAAAGTCCGAAATACTTTAATTAAAATCATAAAACAAAATAAAAAAAACCTGCTCGTTTGAGTTCAGTACTCACGGAAGCCTTACTTTATGAATTATTTTCGAAAACATGACTTGCGGACACAAAAATTATCACTGCTCTTAAACGCACCATAATGAATTATAAACGACCTAATCAATAGTATACTAACGAGGGACATCACAAATCAACCACAAAGAATGTATTTTGCTTGCAAGAACAGTGACATCAATTTGTACTACTAATTTTTTTCGTTTACTTTCTTCTTCTCAAAATATACTTAGTTACCTTTCAAAGTAATCTGTTCACATTTGAGTCGCTACGATTTCGACAGCATTCTGGTAAAACATGTAAAATATTAGTAACCGACCATTTCGGGAATAAATGAAGTTTTGGCAGTTTCGGTTTGTACTCGGTTGAAAATCCAGATTCGGACGGACACTATAAAATATTAAATAATTTACAAACAAAATCAGTCTTGTTTTCAGAAATCTTGATTTGCGACTCGATGTCATATTCTTGCAAACAAAGCGTCATTCATGAGACTGCAATAACAAAACAAACTAAAAACCTCAGCTCCTAAAATAATACTTCGCGAAATACGGTATAATACAGTCTTTGATCTCCTTGGAAGGATTGTAAAGGTAATCACTAACATAAACGGTAGGCACCAAGTAGATTCCTTGCTCCGCAAGAGGAATATACGCTGAGAGATCAGAAGAAACGTATTTGTTGTCTATCAGACAATGAGTCGCGTGGACGTGGTCGTCGAATGGGGGCTTGACGTCTACTACCACCCCACCTCCTGCTTCTATGACTCTTAAGATGGGCTCCCTTTTCTAGAATAGAAAAAAGGTACTGATCACTGACTACAGAAAAATATATTCCCATCTATTTAGGAGATTGCATTAAATGTGATAAATCTTATGTTGAGGCGATGTGAATATATCTGGATTTTCTGCAAACCTTTTGCTGTATATTGGTGTAAGCAGAAATAGTAAAATATATTGATAAAAAAAAGTAAGAGTAATGAATGTGTCACGCAGTTGATAAATAATGTACCCACATCAAAATGCAAAAAAATTACTGGTAGTGATGAGTTCAGTAGCAATTTTCTCCCATTTTTGCCGAGAAATATCTCTACTATGATAATTGTTGTTTCTCATATTCCACAGTGATATCTTTTCACACACAAGAGTTATCAATTTATCATCGACCATTCAAAAGGGCATTTGAGACTATAAATAGGGAAAAATTGTTACTGAAATTGCGTCACTATGGCTTCAAAGGATCAGTATTACACATTTTACAAAATTATTTAGTAAATAGAAGTCAAAAAACTAAAGTTGGAAATATTATGTCAAGTGTTCAAAATGTATCAGCAGGGGTGCCACAGGGGAGTAAATTAGGGCCGTTACTATTTATTATTCATATAAATCATCTCTGACATTTTAGAACACTGCAAAATTCAAATATTTGCAGACGATACACATATATATATAGCACATAAGGATTTGGATACTGCTTTAGAACTGTTAAATGGTGATTTTGAAAAAATTATGTATTGGTTAAATGTCAATAAACCTAAATTAAACACTAATAAAACAAAATGTATGTCAATAGGGAAACATTTAGGTGACACTACAATTAGGCTCATGATTAATGATGAAAAAAATGAAGTAGTCGAGTCGTTTAAATATCTTGGGATATATGTGGATAGTAAGCTGCTGTTTCACGAACATTATAAATACATTATTTCAAAAATATCGTAAAGGATAAATTACTTCTATAGAGTTTCCCATAATCTTAGTATGTATTCCAAAAAAATGTTGTACAACACTATAATTCTTCCCCATTTTTTATATTGTTCAACCATCTTGTTTACAGCAAATGAAAAAATATTTTCAAAATTACAAATTCTACAAAATAAAGCTATGAGAATCATTTTAAATAATAATAAATATACTAGGATTAAGTCTATGTTAGAAGAACTGCAGTGGTTGGACGTGAAAAATTTCGTACATTATTTAGTTGTCGTTTTCATATTCAAATTAAAAAATGATTTATTACCACCACATTTAGAAAACTTCACAAAATTAAATAGTCATTATCATAACTACAAAACTAGAGGCAGTACAGATTTTCATCTGCAAAATTGTAATAGTAGCATAACTAGTAAATCTATATTTCAAAAGGGAGTATTTGAATTTAATAAATTGAATAATGATATTAAACAAAGTTCGAATTAAAAAATGTTTAAGGTGAAATTAAAAAATCACTTTATGAATAATCAAAATACATAGTGACGTAATTTTAATTTTAATAGACAAGAATGTAAATGGATTGAAGAAAAATATGTAACCGAATCATGCAAAATTGACATTGTAGCATTAATGCTAAATAAATCTTCAACAACAACAACAAAAAAATAACCAATAAATACCACACAGGTCGTACGAAAAGAAATCAAATCTGCTTGATCACTCAAGTAGATCTGACGACTGCGTGCATATTCTGACGTGCTGGTCGCTTCAGTGTAAACACGTTCATTGGAAAACAGGTGTTTATTCGGAAGAAAATTTCATCGGAAATTCGCACCCACAGCAACCGTAGCCTAAGATCTGTAAACGGTGCATTCATTTTGGATGTAACATGTGAGTTTTTGTGTTGACGGAGCAAATTGTCATTTGAATTTCCTTTATTTTTATCCGCAATGATTTTTTTGCGTCTCTGTGAAATTAGGAGAGTTGTGATTTGTGTTACTGTATTACCAAGTCCAAAAATCAAGCATGCATAATTAATTTAGTATAAGATCAATATTATAATCATGGTATTAACTAGAAATTCAATTATAGTGAAAAAGGATGGGGTGCTTGATATTAAATATTAGAATTATTGTTTTGTATTGTTATTTATAAAATTGGAGTTAATTATAAAAATATAGTTAATTGCACCCTACGCTTTTTTGCTATAATTGAAATTTTTTTTAATATATTTTATTATTTTTATATCTCATACCAAATTAATTAAGAGATACTTGAGCTTTTACACTAAATTAAAAAATTATTTTCTACTTAGTTAATTGCACCCTACGCTTTTTTACTATAATTGAAATTTTTGTTAATATATTTTATTATTTTTATATCTCATACCAAATTAATTAAGAGATACTTGAGCTTTTACACTAAATTAAAAAATTATTTTCTACTTAGTTCAATTTGCTATTAAAACGCGTTTTATAATTTTTTAAATTCTAATTTATTTTCTGAATTTTAAGTCTCCTAACACAAGTACTCGTAATCAAGAATTTTTTTTTTAAATTTCGGATTTTTTTTCAAAATTTCCAATTTTTTCAAAATTTCCAATTTTTTCAAAATTTCCGATTTTTCATAATTTTCTAATTATTTCCAAAGAGAAAGAAAGAATTTCAAAATCTTCATACTACTTTCCGATTATTTTCAAATCAGAATTTTTCCCAAATTTTGAAATTAAAATTTTTCACAACACAATATTTTTTCAAGATTATTGTATTGTATTGGCCCTTGCCCCTGTGCATATTTTCATATTAATTTTGTTTAAGATTTATTTAGCATGATTGCTACAATTACATTCTTCTAAAAAGCTAAACAAGTACATAACAAACATATTTAGAGAAAAAAAATGTGCATCTCTAAGAATTTTCATTGTCCATGAAATATTCCTTTAATTTTCTTTTAAATATCTTTAAATTACACGGAGACTTTATATCATTATTCAAGTAATCGTTTATGAAATATTGATTTGCTAGTTATATTATTATTGCAATTTTGTAAATGAAAATCTATATTTCCTCTTGTAATTATAATAATTGTGGTAATTATTATTCAATTCTAGCTAATAGAAGCGCGTCAAAAAAAGTGACTTACCTCTGCAAAAATGATGGCCCGCATGTCATTGAACGCCTTATACCCTCTTCTCGCAATCTCCTTCCGCCACCAATGCGATCTGGTCAGCCTGGACCTCTCGATATCCTCAGGCACATCGAAATTTCCCGCGGATTTCGGATTCCCGAACTCGTACTCTTCTTCGTTCAGAAACTTCATTCTTTTCTTCGATTCGTAGATGTAATTGCTATGTAGGATCCATTTTCCGGCTGCCATACATGCGAGAGGTTTTTCGTTGCGGCATGGTTTTGGACAGATTAGATGGGTGCAGGCCGGGTCGTAGTTGGCTAATTCGGATACTGAAACACACAAATGACCGGGGAGGTGTAACTAGTAAGACTAGGACTAGGATTCGAACTTATACAGGGTGTTTCAGTTTATTGTTGCATAACTTTAAGATTCGATAGAACTTTTAAAATTAATGCATAAAGTCTATATAAACATGGGTCGAAAAATGCGTGGCTTCCGAAATACAGGATGTTCAAATTTACTTTTTAAAATAGTTTTTTTTTAATATGACCGAAAATTTTTTCTTAGTGCATTTTTTTGCTTTTTCAATAAAAAAACTGATTCTTCGCACTTTTCATCATAAAAAAGCTCTCTTGTGAATTTTCGTTATAGTTAGAAGTTTTTCAGATATTTCGATTTTTAAGATTCGATGCATTTTTAATTATTTATGATAAAATAACGTTAAAAAGTCAGTACCTCGATAATTTTTAGAAGTAGGCTGTGCCTGCAAATATTTTTGAAATTGAAAGCAGAATTAGGTTAAACGTCTATTAGTTGACAGTTAGTTTTGTTGTCTGTTGAAACCTGAAACGTTTTTTGCAATTGTGAATGCACGAAATTTAGTTTCTTTTACCTATTTTTTTTTGTAAGTTTTATAAAAATGATATTTTTATTCTCCAATCAAGAGTTAGCGGATATTCATTTTGTGTATGGCTTTGTAAATGGAAACGCAGCAGAAGCAGCCAGAGAATACGCACGAAGATTTCCAAACAGACGACATCCAACTCGCTCAGTATTTGTAAGAGTGCATCGCCAAATAATTGAAAATGGTTTTGGAAATCTCCAAAGGGATCAAAACATAAATGTTCGTCAGCATAGATTTACCCGTATGATTCTGCGTGAGTTTGATAGAGATCCCATCACAAGTGTTAGGAGAGTTTCTGGTGCCTTGGGAATTTCAGCAAGCCATGTTCACCGTGTTCTTAGAAATGACCATAGACGTCCTTACCATTTGCAACCTGTGCAAGGACTACAGCCAGGGGACGGAGAATGAAGAATCACATTTTGTCAGTGGATTCTTGATAGAACTGATAATAATAGGGAGTTTTTAAGTAACGTTTTATGGACCGATGAGTCATGCTCTACTAGACGTGGAGTGGTAAATTTTCATAATCAACATATTTGGTCGCATGAAAATCCGCATGCAGTTCGGGAAAGAAATTTTCAGCATGAATTTAGTGTGAAAGTGTGGATTGGTATCTACCGTAATCGACTATTTGGACTCTACCTTTTGCCTGCAAGGTTAAATGTTGCGACCGTCTTCGAATTTTTAAAGGCTGAACATGCAAATATGTGGGATGATGTTATGTTAAATTTAAGAAGATTGGCCTGGTTCCAGCTTGATGGTTGTCCAGCTCATTATTCGAGAATAGTTAGAAACTGGCTGGACGAAAATTATCCAGAAAGATGGATCGGCCGTGGAGGACCAGTCGCCTGGCCTCCACGATCCCCTGACCTAAATCCATTAGATTTCTTTGTGTGGGGATTTCTAAAAGAAAAAGTGTACCAGACTCTCGTAACCACAAGAGATATGCTAATAGACAGAATCAGGAATGCATGTGATGAAATAAGGCCTTATTTGAATAATGCTATATCACGTTCGATCATTCGTAGATGTGAATTGTGTATTGAACAATTGGGTTTACATTTCGAGCAACTACTTTAGATTTTGTATGTTTGTCCTAACTATCCAATAGCATTTTAGTTGTAAATAATTAATTTAATTTGTTAAAAATAATATTGGAAAATTAAACAAATTAATATTCTGTTTTTTTGTGTTTATTTGGAGTTAGGAATTATTGCTGTGTTTAAAAACACAATCTAAACGATCATCTTAATTACTTGTAATGCCCAAATCGAAAATGTAAAAAAAAATATTTTCCCATAAATAGTTAAAAATGCATCGAACCTTAAAAATCGAAATATCTCAAAAACGGCTAACTATAACGAAAACTCACAGGAGAGCTTTTTTATGCAGAAAAGTGCGAAGAATCAGTTTTTTATTCAAAAAGCAAAAAATTGCACTAAGCAAAAATTTTCGGTCATTTTAATACACTACAGGTACAGTAGAGAGCGCCCTCTAGCAGCTACAGTAAAACTATGCCCGTGGTTCGTTTTGTCGGACCAAAAAACCCTTGTATACCAATTTTCACTGTTATAAATCAAATATTGTTCGAAATATTTAAAAAAAACTATTTTAAAACGTAAATTTAAACACCCTGTATTTCGGAAGCCACGCATTTTTCGACCCATGTTTATATAGACTTTATGCATTAATTTTAAAAGTTCTATCGAATCTTAAAGTTATGCAACAATAAACTGAAACACCCTGTATATAAAAATAATAACCACAACAAAGTTGGACTAGATTGGTCAAGTAGTTTTTGAGAATTTCTTACTGTTTATCCCAAAACATCTGTTTTCCGGTCATCACTACTAGTTTATTGAGCAATATACAGGGTTAGTTCAAAGGGCCTTTTTGCAAAATACACTAGTTTACCTTGCCGAGATGAATCGCAAACCATCCCGGAAGATAAATGTTATTTTTGTGCAAAAAAGGATGGCTTATGTTTTTTCTTCTAAACAAATTCAATTATTTCGTATTTGTGAGTAATTCGCAACAAAAGATGATAGACACATCCGCTTTGTTTTAAATTGCGAAACGTTTGAATTTGTTTAGAAGAAAAAACGTAACATTTGTTTTCCGCATAAAAATAACTTTCATCTTTCGGACTGGTTTGTGATTCATATCGGCAAGGTAAACACGTGTATTTTGCTATTAAATGCTCTTTGAACGAACTCTGTATATTGCTCAATATACTAGTAGTGATGGCAGGAAAACAGGTGTTTTGGGATAAACAATTAGATATTCTCAAAAAACTACTTGTACTCCAATTTTGTTGTGGTTATTTAGAAGTACGAATCCTACGAATTTGAATAATTTCAAGTATCTGCGAAAAAACATCGTCGCATTACCAACAAGGGCCAAAACCTGCATTCTGCCTCGTTTTTGGCCATAACATTTTAGATATTACTCGACTCTTTTTACGTGTGGTCTCATTTTGTAGGTCTCATAAATACCTATAAATCTGATTTGAAAAGTTTTTTCGTCCCCGTCAACACTTTCGATTGAATCCCAAGAAACACGTTTTCTCATTCTTTGTTGCCAAATAAAAAGTTTTCCCACAAAAATTGGTGTATCCATTTTATGCGTCCATGTTTTGAATACCCCCTTAAACAGCTTCCAGCAATAAAAAGTTCAGCATATTTGCATATATAAAAAAAACTGGCATGTCACTTTTTGAAGATAGGTAATACCCCCTGCGGGGAGGTGTAACTAGTAAGACTCTGTACCCTGCTTTGTGACGTCACTGATACCGAATCGTGGATTGAAATATGCCTCGTTTCGGGTAACTATAAGCTCCATTTACTAATTAAAATCATTGCCAGATAAAATTCTTTATAGATATGAATAAAGTATAAACAATTTCTCTTTTATACGAAACACATACCTACTCCTCCTAAAGATTCGATCATAAACGTCATTTCCTTCCGGTCTTTATCACTTAGGTTGGACAAGGTAAAAATAGGCTTCTTTGGCGAAGAATCTCCTTGCTTAAAATCCCACCCTACGGTGCACGGTTGAGAGTCCTGATATTCCCTGTTACCTAGAAATTCAGTTTATTGTTAGTTTCATTAAAAAATAGAAACATTAGGACTGAAGTTGAAAAGCTTATACCTGCAGGTGCTGGGTTGATAGATTGAAAATTCCTACTTTGCCTCTTTCCACTACCGCTGGCCGTCAGCATATCCTCAAGCTGTTTAAATTTTCCCTCCAAAAACTTATTTTCGGGAGTTGTCGGTTCATCGACGGCCGAAGCAACTGCGTCTTCTTTACTATCATCAAAGTTAGGCTGCTCTACATTTTTTCGTAATACTTTATTCCATAACCTTTCTTTTATCTCTGATAAAGGTGTGCTCGCATTGCTATCGCTGTCTTTGGGACATCTGTCGGGAAACTGCATCAGCCAATATTCACACATTTTTCTTAACCTGGATGAAAAGCACCACTTTCAAAGTATACGACACTTTGATATTAAAAACACAATCTTCAATGTGACTGAAGTGATATAAAATGCGAGACAATTTAGTCAAGGTCCGGTATACTCGATTTCTTCATATCCAAATTTCAAAAATGGAAGACAGGAATTTGGCTTCAAATAGATCTACGAAGTTCTTCATGAATTTCTTCAAGAAATTAGATCTTGTTCTAACTTCTGGCAAGTTGAACGCCAAATTAAATGGTGCCAACCTTGCTTTGATTTCCGTTATATTGAACAACTTTTCAATTCAAACATAGAACTTTGATAGAACTAAACAATATGGTTCCTGTTTATAAAAAAACAATTCATAAAAACTCATAATGTTTCTAGCAAGAATTTGTTGTGGGGTTGGCAATCCTTGAATTTGTCCAATGATTAAACATCGCAAAACATAATCAGGATGACCTTGAAAAAATGCATCTGAATAACTTCATCAAAAAATTGTTGTTGCAGAACGGGTATTAGGCATATCTGTCTATCCGCCTGTAACTTGAAAAGTACTGCTCCCATTTGGATGTACTTTTCACATAAGGTTACTACTATTCCAATGACGGAAAAGCTTTGTAGATTTTGAAAGTCGGTCCAGTGACTGCAGAGTTAGGAGCAAAAACACGAAAAAAATAAAAATATCTCAAACTTCATTTTTTGTCGTTTCACATCATTTAAAGAAAAAAATTGCAGTGTAAAAAATTCGGTGTTGGGAGTTGTTGGGGGTGGGGAAGATACGAGCCCCTTCCCACTTCAGTTGGCCCAACTATTGAAATCTTAGTTTTTTTCTTATCAAACACAAATAATAAAAATGTAGCAGGGTGTTATAGGTTTAAAATATTAACAATGAATATTTTGATAATATATAGTAGAAAACACCAACTTTATCATTCCCTAATCAAATTGGCAGCATAAAAATAACACATGTTGCAATTACAGCATATCAACCTATTTTCATTTCAATGCAAAATAAGTCTATAACGCATAGGTGGCTGTGAAAAATAAAAGCCATGACAATTGTTTTTATTAATCACAGCTGTCAGAATACGTTTAAAATAGTTTTGGGTAGTTAAGGTTTTCAAAATGGGTAGATGGTTATTAGTGAGAAAATTCGGTTACTGATAATTAATTTTTTTAATTCTGGGAAATCAAACTCAGAAATTGCAACTTTGTTAGACTTATCGCGGTACAGTGTGAGAAATATTGTTAGAAGATATAACGTAACTGGTTCAGTTAATATTAAGCTACGATATGTGAAAAAAAGTAATATCACAAATGCCGACCGAAGAGCATTAAGAAGAATAATCGTGGAAAACAGGCGTGCCAATTATTTATAATTATTAATTTTCTTATAAAAAAAAGTGAAGTAAAAACCCTAAAGTTGCACAACTTGCTTATAGGCCAAAGAAAAGCCACTATTAACTCCACTGCAAAAGAAAAATCGGCTTAGATGGGCTAAAGAACATAGACAATGGACACCTCAACAATGGTGTGCCATACAATGGAGTAATGAGGCCCGATTCGAAGTTTGTGTTGGTGACAGTCGCAGTAGAGTTATTCGCAAAAAAAAAATGAAGCATTCCATGTTGACTGTCTGAAGAGAAAAGTGAAATTTCCAGCATCCAATATGGTCTGGGGCAGTATGTCATCAAAAGGAGTAGGAAAACTTCATTTTATTGATGGAAATGTGGATACAAACAAATATTTGGCAATTTTAGAAGAATCGCTTTTACCAGTGATAGAAGAATGTTTGACATCCGGCCAAGATGTTGTGTTTCAGCAAGATGGTGCAGCATGCCATACCTCAAAAAAGGCTATAAAATGGATGGAAGAAAATAATGTGAAATGGGTTTCTAGCAGTCCAGATCTGTCACCTATTGAAATTTTGTGGCACGAGATGAAAAAGGTTCTACAACAACTTCCTGCTCGTACAATCACCGAACTGAGACAAAAGCTTCAAGAAATATGGGATTGTTTTACACCAAATTTTTGCCAAAACTTGGTTAACACTATGCCCCATGTTCATAGGCAATGTTTTTCTAGGACTAACTTGTGTCGAATATAATCCATATGAACTGATGACAGCATTGCATAGGAAGGCAACCTACTTGATGCCATTTTTAGTTCAGTTTAATGAGATCTATCAGCTGGTATATTATAAACCGAGATAACCGTATACATAAACGGATTTTAAAAAAATAAAAACAATTAAAAATCAATCACCCTAGTAAAAGTTTCACGGTTTTCGAAATATTATTTTTTACCTGTTTTTTTTTTAATCTATATTTTGCGGCTGTGCCTAGAAATATCTGTTGTTTTTTTTGCAAAATATTCTCAGATAGTTGGTCTGCCAAATATCATTTTCGATAAATACAAGTAGGTAAACTAATTTCGACGTAATTTTTATTTTTGAAAACTATTTTACTCAACTTTGGTATTCAGAAATGAAATAAAAATGTACTAGACTGCTATTGCAAAGTACTGCGATTAATTACCTGCTTAATCAGCAACAAAACGCGGATCAAACGAAGAATTTTTTCGAAAAAGACAAAAAAAGTAATATCTCAAAAACAGTGAAACTTTCACTAGGGTCATTTTTTGGTATGTTGTTGCCTATCTTCCCCATTTTTTGTAGTACTATTTACCGGTATAATCAACAGTATTTTAAACACATTCCACTAAAAATCTCAAAAGTCTTTAAGCGTCCCCGGATTCAGCAGTATACACCTAGTGAAATTGATTAAAAAAAGATACCTTGGAGAAGGATTAGGAGTAAATATCCTCCCTAAGGGAGTATCAGGAGTCTTGATGAAGTCCCATGGCTCATAATGTGTACTCGTTTTGTCATCTTTCTTCTCTGACGCTTGTTTTTCAGGAGACTTATTCCGAAACCGTCTCATGATTTGATTCACCGGCGTAATGGGACTAAAATTTAAAAAAAATGTTTTCAACACAATGTATATTTTCTGCACTATTAAAAAGAATTGTACCTAAATTGCTGATCTGTAATTCCAAAAGTGTTCTTCAACTGAGAGATCTGATTATTTGGGGTGCAAGCCTTCTCGGCCTTACTTGACCCTGGAGGTTGGGGAGTTCGACATCGACTTGTCTCTGGGGTATTTGCAAATCCTGGCCTTGAGTTTTCGTCACAAATCGTCTCTGTGCCAGCAGCTTAAATCAAATTGCAATCAGCTAATCAAGCAACAAATGAAATGAGAGTACGCACCTTTGGTCTCCTCCCGTCGTTCGGGAGCCTTAGAATCTCCGAGAAGGAAGTCGCCCTCCCATTCCTTTTTGCCAGTTTTTGCGCACTCAAGCAACCAAAGTTTTGACACCACTGGCCTGCCCCATTTTACAGCTGCCTCGTATTTTTTCCCAGTTGCTGTCGCGGACACCTAACATACAAAAGACAACAAACATTAATGTAGAATATGGACAAACTTTTAAAGTTGGTATTAGAGAGTGTCCGATAATCAATCACTAAATGATTCAACAGTATAAATTTGCCGACAGTGGCAAACACCAATATTCCACCAGGGTCGCAAATCTTGAGCTCAATAGGATGCTTCAAAGGGAATGGTCCCAAATTTTGACAGCTGTTGACGTTTATAAAATCAGCTATAGAATGCGATTGGTTCCTATGACCTCAAGGCCCATGTATACGAGCACAAGCCCCGAACTCTGGACGAGTTGAAGGAGGCAACGTTGAGAGAATGATGTTGGAAAGAATCTACATGGACTTTCAAGAACACCTCCAACAGTACAATGCCAACGACTGATGTGATTTTCCACACTTAATTGTGACAGACTCTATTTCATTGTGAACCCGAATCCGTCAATAAATTTGTTTTTGAGTAAAAATTACCGATTTTGTGATTTTTTAAAAACCGTCCGATAAAATATGTTATCACTGCCTGAATCTAATTTTGTAATCCAATGGGCTTACCAAATGTGTGCAGCCATATACACCTTTTGCCTCCAAGGTGACCCTAGCAAACTGCTCCTGTGGCAGTCCTCCTAGATACTCAATCAAACATCTAAGGAACTGCCGCTCAAATCCAATGTAAGAACTGACTGCTATCACACAGTTGCTCAAACATTTTGTGTCTGGAACATCGTGAGGCCGATGATAGTACGAAATTTCAGTCAATAATTTGCCTGTATCATCGCATTCGGCTATGAAGATTTCGTTTACTATTTCCGATGCAGTCTGATGGATGTTCATGCTACAATTGAAGATAGGTGTAACCACATTAATAGGCACAAAATACACTATAGAATAAATAACACATATCGAATTTTTTTTAGAATAATGGATTACCAGTTAATGAACATAATGAGGCAGATGCCAGAATATTTTTAAATTTCTGATTTCAAAGTTCTGGCAACCAAGCAATACTGCATCCGTTTTTTTTTACATTACCTTCTGTTTACCAAGAATTCTGAATATTAAAATAGAACTTTACTAAATAAGACTGGTTTGATCAATAGAAGTGTAAATGCCTACCTGAAAATTGGCACCACAAGATAGTCTGGCACTCCCTTAGAATTTTTAGGAACCACTTCACCACCTAAATCTTCAATTTTCTCCCTTAGCTGAGCATGTCGTTGCTCATCAAAGCCCATGATCATAAATTTCGTATTTCCAAAAATGCACAACGTAGACTGGTCTTGGGTGACAGACATGGAACTTTGTTGTGTTGATGTTTCAGGAGGTTTAAACTGAGACTGAGGTGGAGGTAGAGCAACATTATCTTAAAAAAAAAACGAAAGAATGAGATGGAGAACATGAAAACAAACAAAATCTATGAAGGCACTAATTTGAAAATAACTCAACTCTGACGACCTAAAAACATTTAAAAACGAAAATCCAGATGTTAATTTTTCTATCTTTTTTAACATGATTAAAAAATGAGAAATGTAACAAAATTACATTTTTTATATTCAAAACACTATTAAACCTCCCATTAAAGGAGAAATTCTACTATGTCCATTTTGCTACGACTTAGGTCCATAACTTTTCACCAAATCAGCATGTTTTTGCTCATTTTAATGTATGCTACCTAGAACTGTGGCTGAAAAATTCTGGGAAAAATGAATTAAAATAAACAGCTCATTTACCATGCTTCAATAAGTTTGAATCATCAACATCATTCAATAGCTTGGCTAAAGTGTCTTGACTGCCAGTATTACTCTCCAAGTACTGTCTTACAATGTTATCCTCACATTCGCCAGGAATGGGGATGATGCCATCCATATCACAGTCAGCATCTGTTTCAGTGCGAGTTTTATTTGATTTCAATAAGCTGAGACCTTTTTTGCTTAGAGGGGATACAAGACCACCCAATGAATGCTGAAATTGCGAAGAATATATATCACTATAAATAATACAATATAAAGCATTACAACAGATTATACAGCGTGTTCCATACTTAATGAACCTAGTGATGTGGTAAGCAGTTTTTTATGAAAATCAACACCTTTTAGGCTGAATATTGGAATGTGTGACTATGAACAAAAAAGCCAATGAATGGTGCTAATTATTTAGGAAAACAGATTGGTTGTGCCTCTTTTGATTTTTTGTTAGAATCTTTCATTTACTCAAATATCCTATTTTTAATAGTTTATGAAACAAAAAACTAAAAATTTCAAGGGATATCAAACTGTTTTGGGATCCCAAAATTCCAGCACCAGATACAGTTTTTTTCATTACATTTCATTTTATCAAGTGGAATGCCCAGTAAGTTTACTCTGAATTTATCATCATTTCACAAGAAATAGGAAAGAAAAGAAGAAAATGGAAAATCAATGTTATTCACCCTGTATAGTTTTTTCAATAACGTTCTAATGATTTAATTCTACCAACTATTATACTGCAATATGAGTCCTCCTTTAATGATTTGGCTTTTGGGACCAATTCAAGATTATGATGAAAATGTAAAAAAGTTAAATTCAGTTGCATAATGCACACACCTGGACCTGCATACTATGTTTTTGTGGATGTTTAGATTGAATTCAAGTTGGCCTGTAAAATGAAATTTAGTGGTATTGCATATTAAATGCTTTAACAAGAACTCACATCAGCTGGTAGAATTAAGCCATTCAAAAATTACTGAAAAAAGTAAATAGGGTGCATAAGATTAATTTTTCCTTTAACTTGTATCATTTATTGCTCCCTTTTCTGAATCTAACCACATCATAATATGGAGTTCACTAAACATTAGATCAATTTTAAGCATTGTTTGCAAAATATTGATGAATTCAAGTTGATAAAATTTTGAGTTTTTTATCATGTAAACTGTTAAAAATAAGATACTTGAATGAAGAAAAAAGGTTAACTAGAAAACTAAAAGAGGAGCAATCAATAGATCAATTAGCATCACTGAATGTTTTATACATATTTAAACATTTCAATATTCAGCTTGAAAGGTGTTGACTTTGATAAAAAACAAACAAGTGAGAAAACTCAAATCTTGCCCCAGATCTTTCAACCATACATCTGATTTCAAGTTACTCCTAGGTAATTTTATTATTGTGCAAAATTGGTTCCATAACACCTAAGATGTGTGATAATGAAGATATGGCATGTTTATGACTACCTACCATTTCATTATTTCCATTTAAGTATGGAGCCCCCTGTTGAGATAAACTCTATTAAAAGTTACATAAGGTACAAATCGTATTTTGAAATGTTTTCCTTTAATAATATTATTGTGATAGAATCAATTTGAAAGCACTAAATACAGGTATATGAAGAAATGTCTTGGTTTTGTACTTACTTCCATCTCAACGTGACTGATAAGGTACTTTTCCTCACTTACAGCTCTTTCTTGATCAATACTATCTAAGAGCCACTGTACAGATACTAAGCTACACGAGTACCTCTTACTTTTTATCAAATTAACCTCATGACTTGTAACATCACCTACAATAACATGTGTTACACTATCTGAAAATTTCTCATTCCTTGTTGCACCACTGAAGTTTAGGATTTTTATCAATTTTTCTGTTTGATCTGCACTGAAGCCAGTCACATATATGGAATATCCATCTAAGTATTGTCCTGCTTTTTTGGCTTTTTTCACATCTAGTTTCTCAACAAGATCCTCATAATTTGACTCTGCCTTTCGTTTTTGATTGCCCTTAGAGCTACTTAAAAGACTCTCTTCTACGATTCCTCTATGTGACATGTTAGATGGCAAAATTGCACTCAAAGTAGAAATATCTGGATTTATACTGTCATTTTTTGTTGGAGTAGATGTGACTTTTTGGACATGATATTTTTGGCTTGGAAGTGCATACCCCTTTTCTATGCTATCTGTTACCCATTCTAAAGTGACACATTTAATATGCTGAGCCCTACGTGCTGCCCTGTACTTCTCGCTATTTGTTGCTTCAGGGCCCCCACAAACCAACACATTTGTATCCATAACAATAAGCTTTCCAGTAAACTTTCCACCATTTTCTGTGATCATTTTCTCAACTGCGTGCCTTTCTGAAGCTGTAGTTAAGCCTGTTGTGCTGATTGTCAATCCGTCAAATGCTTTTGCTCGATGTTTTGAAAACATCTCATCACATGCATGGACACTAGCATTTTGAGACTGCTTCCAAACATCTTCTATCCACGATGGTTTCATGAGAGACACATTAGCCTCAGCAGCTAGTAGATATTTCTCCGACATTACACTGCCTATTACAAGATGTGTAGTTTTGGTTATAAGATCATCACTGTAACACCCACCCATAAGCTCTACTTTAGTTTTGATATCTGCTTTAGCTTTCTTCGGGCTGGACAAGCAAGATGCTGTGACGATGCATCCGTACATAGCTACGTTGAACATTGGCCAAGGATAGTTTGGTATTGCTTTTCCTTCAAGAAGACAGACACTTATTGTCCAAGGACCTATTAGAGCACATTTTGTCTGCTTTAGACTTTCGAAACATGACCCTTTGAACTCCTCAAACACGACAAAGTCTGTTTTGCCTACGGATTCAGTGTCCACCTCAGATTCTTTTACCCATTTCACATTACATTTGTTTTGCTGACAGACTTCAAAGGCCTGATGCATAGATTCAGATGCCTGAGACTCATTGTTGTATTTTCTTGATAAAACGAATAGGATTCTAACTTTATCCATATCCGAAATATGTTTTAAAACATCTAAAAACTAAAACACGTAGAAAAATTTAACGGACATCCACAAATGACAAGATAAAAGATTCAAACTTGACATATTTGACATTAGTGATGATGTTGCTGACATTTGTGAAAATAGGTGAGGGATATGCGACTTCAACGGAAAAGGGGCGTGGCATAAATTAAAGAACTCCATACTGGATTTGACATTAATTTGAATAATAGTCTAAGGTCCTACGAATGTCTTTCGATCACATAATGACATGCTATCTCTTTAAAGGATACGACTTACAGTGAAACAAGATTTCATCCAAATACGTACAGATGTCTTATTTTGAACATTTAAACTTGATATGTGTAATTCATTTAACAGAAGCTGATGGCAAGAATCATTCACACTGGATTCCGTCTCGTCATCAGATAAATCCGCAGTTAGGCCATGATTGCCTAGACAAGCTTCTGTAAATCATTTCAGCTTTAACTTGACTACTATGTACTTGTTGAATTACCATTGATCAAAAGCGGTACATTGCTACAATTACCATTTTTCCTTGCTTTGATACTTTTCTGTACATTTTCCTTTCGTTGTTCTGCTTTTCTTACTTTATTTATCCAAATTTCCTCATATTAACTATTTAAAGTTGCAGAAACCAAATTGTTAAGTTCATATAACTCAGCATTATTAGATTCATTGGGTGACCTTTAAAATCTGCGTCGTGCTCTGTTTCTATTTTTAATTAAATCGATAATATCTGATGGTAAATCCTGGTTTGAACGTTGTAAGTTAGGAATAAATAGATCGAGAGAATTTTATAGGAACTTATCAGAATTCAGAATGCAAGTTGGGATGCCGATGGCAAGCTGCATTTATTTATTCTAGTGTGCCTAGAAATGTGCTACAATGCCAACTTTCAACCCTCTACAAAAATGTCAAAAATGGCTACGGCGTGTACGGTGAAGTCCGTGAACAATCTAAGAGTTTTCAAAATTCCCCAGCAAGAAGGAGCCGACAGCATTGTGCGTAAGCTAGAGAACGGACTAGTCTCTATACTTAATTCCAGACAACCCAATCAGTCTCTTCAGGAGCTATATACCATTATAGAGAATCTTCATAGCTCGCACCGTGGAGTTTTGTACGAGAAACTACAAGGCCTCTTGGAAGAGGCACTCCTAGAGATTTTGGAAGCAGTCGTACGTGAATGCGAAAAAATGCCTTTGCTAATACAATTTTGGTTGCGATTTTGCAGCCAAATAGTGATAATCAAGAATATATTCCTGAAATGTGACAGGTGAGTATTTATTTCGAATGTATACAGGGTGATAGAAAAATCAGAGAATATCCGCTACGAGCGCTAGTACCCTGCAAATACGGAAGAAAAGGCAACTTATTCCTCGATATTTTGGGATACAAATACATACAAATTATTAATTTTTAATATTGTCGCAGATCATCGCAAAACTCGAACAAGTACAACACCGTGCAGCAACTAAGTATGAATTTATTCAAGACGTTAATTGTAATGAGTCCCCAAATTAAAAACGAAGTCACCAAGGAAATTCTGCAGTGGATAGAAATGCAAAGGAAAGAAATAACCATCGATTTAAATCAATTACAGAACGCTTTAGGCATGTTGAACGAGTTGCAAGTTTATGATGATATTTTTCATACGGAGTTTCTTAGGATATCGCACAATTTTTACTTGGACGAAGGTGAGACATGCAGCATAAATTTGCAGAATTTGATGCGATCCTGACCTTTCATTTCGACCTAAAATGGCGGTCCGTTAGGCCCGATTCTAAACAGATTCGACACAATTCACAATTCAAAAATATGTACGCTCAAAATAAAACCATTATTTGGGCATAGAGAATAAACTAACAAATATTTTCAACAGTCATTTTAATGCAGGGAACTGGTGAAACATATTGGCAGCGCGACAGATTGCCGCGTCAGCGTTACTAGGCAACGCGTTGATGAGCTTCGCTGGCTTCTATCTGTTTCTAACATTGGTATAAAGCAAATTCTATATCTGAATCTACTTTCAAATAAGGCAAAGTAACTGCTTAAGGCTGTGCATTTTCCTGTCTTCTAACTAGTTGTTCTTATAATAAAGGAAGCCTTTGCTAGTTGAGTAAGCAATTTGCCTACGTGATCATCTACATGAAAACCACAGGATAAGTTTCAAATGTTTCATTATATGATTCCTTATTATGAAATTTTGGACTTGACGTCCGATTGACGATGAAGCAATTTGTCTACGTGATTAGTAAAATCTAATTTATGATCAATGGTCAGTCCCAAAAATTTGATGAGTCTGTTTTGTGTATCAATTCATTATTTAAATTTACAAAATCAAGGAAGCATTTAAATGTCATAAATTTTATCTTATTCACATAGTACGTCAAGTATCTTTTGTCACGGCGTTTTTTGATTTATACACTATCAATTTTTGCCTTAATTATATTTATATCTGTATCTTGCCAAATATTGTGGTATTATCAGCAAAAACCACGAATTTACTTTATATGTTTAAGTTTATTGAATCATTGATATAGACTAAGAATAGGATCGGACCTAATACTGATCCTTGAGGTACCCCTACGTTTTTATTGGGTTTGAAATATGTGTTGATAATTTTACAATTACAATTTTAACCTAATTTAGTGAAGTTCCAGTATTTATTTAATTTCTTTAATAGTATATCGTGATTTAAACAGTCAAAAGCTTTATCAAAGTCACAAAAAAGAGCTATTGAAATTTGTTCAAATTGGTTGTCATATATAGTTTTGTTGGTTTTTAGAAAATATCTAAATCTAATTTGAACCATTTTGTCTATTATTTTTGCTATAACAGTAATTAAAATTATTAATACGCACAACGCACATCTAGTATTGAAAAAACAAACTTTTTTATTGGAGTATTTTTGAACTAGGGACAGAATATTGAACTGTTTCCTTACATTAAATTCAAAGAAAATATTTAAAGAATCAGTTTTAGAGTAAACTAACTTAAAGGTGCTCATCTGATCGATGAGTTGGATGTACGAGCTTATTTGAGGCATGTGCTAGCACGCATTAAAGAAGAACAAGAACGAGAGAAAGACTATCTGAAAAAACATACAGCTACTGCTGTCTTAGAGATAGTGTACAAGAATATGATCAAAGAACACTTGAATAAGATTTTGGACAAGACTTTTCAGTTACTTTATAAGGTAGGGTACTGGAAATCGTTTTTGGATCACTAAAATCAGATCATCAGGATGGTAGGATCCTGCATTGTACAACTATTTTATGCATATTTTTCTATACTATAACTATCTAAAACTGTAATGACTCATCGATGTTCACGTGAACATCACTTAACTACCAGTAGTCGGCTGTTCATAGGCGGGGTATGAATGTTTAACATGGGTGAACTAGAGTTGTCACATGCTTAAAGAGTGGTTTGAAACATATTGTAAGTCAAAAATTTGGAAATTACCTTTATTCATCGTCGCTTCCACTTATATCTGACAGTAATAAACTGTCGCTATCGCTTTCCTCGTTGAAATTGACTATAACTGGCTCTATGATGGTGTCGATGTGGTGGTCAAGCTGCCACATTTTTGTTTCTTCCTTCACAACATGACGGATAGCATTCTGCCAAGCTTCGGGCGTTACTAGCTGTATGGAAGTCTCAAGTAAAACCTTAACGTCTGGTAATTTGAAGGTTGTGTTATGGCGCGCAATATAACCCTTCACTTGAGCCCAGATGAGCTCTATTGGGTTCAGTTCACAGTGGTAGGGCGGTAACCGCAGCACAGTGACACCACATTGACGGGCCATCTCATCAGTCACGTAACTAATGTTCGCAGGTTTGTGCTGTTTAATTTTTTCATACAATTCCGCTTTCACACATGAATCGTCAAACGGGATTCCTTTTTCGCGCAACAATTGCTGCATGTCACTTTTTCGAGATCCCATAGTCGGTACACGTTCGGCTCGTTGACTATGGTAGGAAGCATTATCCATGACGATCACAGAGTTGGGCTCAACTCGCTGAAGCACCCCTTGAAACCAGCTCTCGAAGCAGCTGGCATTCATTTCGTCATGGTAATCACCTCCTTTCTTAGAGACGAAAATCAAGTCACACTCTTCGAAAAAGCCACTATCGCTACCAATATGAGTTACGATCAATCTTTGACCTTTCCCTGACGGTCCACGAAGACCTGTTGACAAACCTTCAATGCTTGCTTGTCGGTTATTCACTACGTTTTTGTCTATCCAGGTTTTTTTAACTGTGTGACCTGCATTTACCCATGTCTCGTCCAAATAATATATTTTTCTGCTTTGTCGCCTATATTCAATCATTTCGCGTAGGTATTTTCGACGCCAGGCGACTATTTCAGGTCTCTCTATCAATACTGACTTCCGATTACGCGTTTCGTAACGAAAGTTAATTTCGTGCAGGGATTTCCTCATTACCTCGACGCTCATTTGGGGAATAATTTCATTTTCCTTGATCGCTGCATGTACAGCCTTGAGGATTGGTATCTCATTCCTAAAGAAGAATGAATGTACGGTTCGCCTTAACGCCATTTTGCTATCGTCATCCAATTTAACGGCCTTTCTTCCCTTCAAATTAAACTTTGGATCAGTAGTAGCTCCAGTTTTCTTCTTTTCATGCACCACCCTGCGAATGGTCCACTCTGGAACGCCTGTCATATTTCACAACGCGCGAGTGCATCTCCCTGCGACATAGTTCTGTTCAGATAATTGAACACGTTGAGCACGATTTCTTTCGCGTCCCTCTTCAGTGCTTTACGAAGCCGTCTACTTGTTCCCTGACTTTCAGTACTGCCACTCGTGCCATTTGTACTCTCCATGGTTAACTATAATCAAAACAGTAACCACAGAAACCACAACAATAACAATCCCTCAACAATTCTTATAAAAACACACAATCACAATATGCGATCGCTCAACGAAACACGTTCCAATGCGTTGCCGACGCCTATGAGTCTGCCGGTCGAGGCGCGTCTTTGATTTCATTGGTTCTACCGGCGGAGAACAATCAGCCATTATTTCCATCTCTGTCTGTGCTGTTGACCACCGCAAAGCCACAGAAACGACATATGTCGTACGCTATACGGCTGTACTGGAAGGAAGCCGGGATCGAGCTCCGATCACGTGTTGATCACGCGTATGAGTCATTACAATTTGAAATAGTATAATAATGACCCATATGTGTTCAATGTCTGAAAGATCGACTTGATATCTAAAAATGGACCAACTTAATTGTCGACCTAATTCATATACAACCAAACAAAATTTTAATTTATTTCAAGGATGTTATAGATGAAGAACTAGGTATTCTTTACAATTTACTGAAAAAGGTAACGCTTGGCCTGAAAAAACTAGAAGAATATTTCATGAATTACATAATGAACTCTGGAAACGGTATAGTGAATAGGCCGGATAATGATAAGATCATGATACAAGAGCTTCTAGACTTTAAAGATAAAGTGGACGTTATCTCTGAGAAGCATTTCAACAGTAATGAGGCTTTCAGCAATATAATACGGACTGCGTTTACGAAGTTTATCAATAACAAGCAAAACAAGGTATGAATAACTGATAGTCGCTAAATCAACATCATACTACAACATATTTCTTTTCACGACTCGGCATATAATAGTATCCATCAACAATTCATTGCTATACAGTGCTGGCGATACATCATTTCGGTTCCCTGATTAATGTGTACGAGCGAGATAGAGAGAGAAATGCGTATATTAGAGTAAGCGCGCTAATGAAGAGTCCACAGATTTGATGTTCTTGGTGTCGACCACGCTTGATTGGATCGCTATCAGGCAACGTGGTGATGACAATTGTACGCACGCTTCTTTCTTTCTCTCTCTCTCTCTCTCTCTCTCTCTCTCTCTCTCTCTCTCTCGTAGCGTATATCTACTTTATTTTGTTAGCCTGCCCAGTTGTTGGCCAAGTATATCGATGCAAAGCTCAGAGCAAAAGACCTAACTGAAGATCAGCTGGAGATAATTCTAGGAAAAGTAATGGTGCTCTTTAGATATATCCAAGGCAAAGATATCTTTGAAGCTTTCTATAAAAAGGATTTAGCTAAACGATTGCTTTTAGGTAAGCCTCAGAACCTAGTCCTAACAGTAATATACAATGTGTACAGAAAAAGGAACTCCCATGATTCACATTACTATAGATAACGCATTTTTCGTCCTTGCTGACGAGGTGGTCTAACACTAAAAGATGTACCTACACTGCACAGACCTCAGCTCAATAAGTGGCCATGTTTGAACGTAAAATGTTCCATTCTTTCCATTTACGGGGTCAAAAATGGGAGGTTCCGTTTAAAAACATCGACTTGACCACCAAATGACCTTGAAAGCCATGGTCAAGGTCAATTCTAAGGTCACCATTGGATAGCTGGGGAAACCTCCTATCAATCGCGGGGCTTAGCTTTTTCTTAACATTAGTAGTTCACAAATTATCTTTTGACGATTTCAACTATACTCAGGCTTTCTGGAAAATAGGTGCGGATAATGATTTAAAAGACAATATGTCCAGAACTCAAGCAAAAGGACGCACCGTCTTTTTTCAGGTAAATCGACTAACCAAGATGCTGAGGATAGTATGATTGGAAGATTAAAGTCGGAATGTGGACCAGCCTTCACGTCCAAGATAGAAGGAATGTTCAAGGATATCAACATCAGCCAAGGAATCAACAATGCGTTCAAACAACACTTGGTTCACAATTTAACGCCGAATAGTTCTGATTTGTGTATAAACGTGTTGACAAGTAGTTTCTGGCCGAACTACTCCACTTATAATGTGAACTTACCCCCAGAGCTGGTGAACTACCAGGCTACGTTTCAGAAGTTTTATTCAAACAATCATAGTGGTGAGTCAAATTGACCTATACAGTGGGTCCGCAAAGTTGGGGTTTTCCTTTACACGACGTGTAAGCGGATTTTCTTAGTAGCATATACACCAATGTCTTAAGAAAACGGAGATATTGGGCTCCCCAAACTCAATCAAACCTGAACCATACCGAAGCCGGTCCTGTCCTATCCCTCGATCACGTCCACAGCGCCAGCGTACAGTCATACGACGTACGACTATGATGTAAATACGGATTTCACGACAGAGCCGTACTTGGAATTTCAATTCAACTGAACAGTGAGTACTTTTTCATTTATTTTTTTTTACTTGTTCGCTCACATTTCATCAAACATTAGCTTTGTTATATCAAGCGTAGTAAAAGGAAAACTCCAATCATGCGGTATAATAATAAACAAATTTATTCACATTTACAACCAGCCATTACAGTAACTCATTTAAGTAAAAAATGTAATTGCAAAAAGGGCCAACATACAGAAATACTGATAAAAGTGCTGGGCCAACTAAGATAAAAATAATGAACATTATGCTGTGAGAATTATACGCGAAGCTACATAGTGGGTAAGCTAGATGTAAACGTTACAAGCAGTTTAAACAGGTATTTTTAAAGACAATTCAATGCTGACGATCCAGACCTGAGTGACCCCTGTAATCATCGTTGATTGCCCTTTCTCCTATACAGAATACGTAGTGGTGCCCACATTAAAATAGGGACCATTTCAGCGTTCATAAAACAAGTCGCTGCCCAACTAGCAAAGTAGTGCTATAAGCTTTTGGTAAAAGAACTGATCAACCGTAAACGCTCTCTATTGTTGTTGCCTTAACACCAAAATGCTGGCTGAATGTTGTGTGGAATGCAAATTTGCTTTCTGCAGCGTATTTGTTCTAAAATGAGGTGTTTAAAATATTCTTATAGCATAGTTGTGTAACACCTTATAGGACAAATTTTGAACGGTTGCATAAACGTTTATACAACTATTTTATAAGACATATGTGCGCGGTAGTCAAAATAGTTGTGTTGTGGCATCCGTGGTAACGTTTATACAACAAATTCGAGCCTTGTTGTTTTGGTGTGCACATCTACTACTTTATAGCCAATAAATTGCTCCCGGCGGAAGCACTTATACAACTGTCGTTAAGTAACTGTTAAAGGCTGTACATCTGCAACAATATTACAACTTTTATAGTACAAAATTGCTGTGCTCGGCATACATTTGTTGCCAAATATGTTGGTATACAACTTCACCATAACCTAACATTCTGCTGACATCTTTTTAGTTAAAATGCCATAACCAATATTTTAAGACCTGCATATTGGTTTAAACGGTTTTATCAACTGTTCAAACCGGAGATATAGATCTGGTACAAATTCTGGGTAAATCATTCGACTCTATCCGAATTTCATTTCAGAGATTTGTCAAATTGTTGTATAACACTTGCAGACAACACCAAAATATTCTAATAAACCAAAGGCAACATGGACGATGCCATGATTATACATAACCACCTGCCATATTGGGCAAAAATATATTCCTTTATTGAAAATTAATTAATTATGTTTCAGTTCGACATTACAGATATAAAGTGATAAACATTAGGGTAATTGTGTCTAAATATTGGATTTGTGGAAGATTTAAAGAAGATATGTTCAGTTTTTCATCTTAAAAATCTAAACATATTTTTGATCATTATTAAAATATGAATCAAATACGAAGCCCGTACAAATTGCGTAACTACTTTGCACGATAATTACAATAAAATTTTCTGCGCAAGTAATTCAATAGCCCTATATCACAGTGTAGAAGTTTATTATATACCTGTGTATGAAATTCACAATGGCCGATATGTAAGTAAAAAAGATGACTGTAATGTGTTAGTTATATATTCTCCACTTCGCCTATACAATATATAAAAAATAGTTTGGTTGCAATAAAGTTGAATCATGTAACAGAATAGTTGTATAGTTGACAAAAACTGAATCTTGCACTAATGCAAATGATCTATAGCGGCTGCAAGAGGTTTACACTTTTGTTGTATAACTGTTACCTGCAGCACTTATACACCCTCTTAAATGATTGAAGTGTCCTATTAGGTGTGCCCATTCCGCTTGTATAGCTGTTCTAAGAGCGTTTTGCCAATGTTCTTACAGCATACAATGTTGTGTAAGGAAGACTGTATAATCGTTCTTGCAACTCTAATAGGAGTGATAATTGTTAGTTGGGTGTGACTCTGACACCTGTTCAAAAGTCGTAAATAATACTGAATTGAACACATTTCAGGAAGAAAACTAGTATGGCAATCAAACTTAGGCCACTGCATCGTCAAAGCAACTTTCGACGCTGGCAATAAGGAATTGCAAGTTTCCTTATTTCAAACGATCGTTCTGTTGCTATTCAACGAAGCAGAAAAACTCACTTTCGCGGAAATCTTGGAACTAACCAACATTGAGGTCGACGAATTGAAAAGGACTTTGTTCTCGTTGGCATGTGCCAAAAACAGGGTTTTGTGCAAGATGACGAAAGGAAAGGAAATTGAGAGCGAAGATCTATTTGGTGTTAATACAAAGTTTACTGGTAAACTGTTTAGAGTCAAGATCAATCAAATTCAGGTAATACTAGGTTTGATGTAACGTGAAATGAAAAAGATTACATTTGTGGTAAAGTATCTACTCAAAGTTTTTTTCAAATATCCAAAGAAAAGAATTTGCTTCTCTTATCGTAACTCAAATTTCGTGGTCAATACACGTATTGTAATCGCTAAAATCATCAAAATTGAGTTTGTTTTTTGGAAACTTGGAGTTAGCAAAATGTTCTACACTTGGCCATTTTTTATAATAGCAAACATATTGTAATTTTTCAGCTAAAGGAAAGTGTTGAGGAACAACACGCCACTGAGAAAAGCGTTTTAGCAGATAGACAGTTCCAGATAGACGCTGCTATAGTTAGAATACTGAAATACAGAAAACGTCTAAACCACAACGAGTTAATTTCCGAATTATTCAACATTTTGGATATTCCTGTGAAACCTTACGATTTAAAAAAGAGAATAGAACTGCTGATTGAAAGGGAATATCTGGAGAGAGACAAGGACGATCCGACCAATTATACTTATGTTGCTTAATTCGATTTTTGTTATTTTATTTATTTATTCTCAATAAATGATGTTCTTGTGAAGCGTACGTTTTTCAATACTTAGTCGTAGTAATACCTACAAACAAATCACCCTTAGCACGGTCAAGGAATGGACGCTCCAATTTTTATCCATTCATTCACAAACACGGCAAAAGTGCATCAAGTAGATTAATTAATCTTCCATGATTTTAATTTTTACTCATAACACTATAACAACTATTACCCAACATGGATTTAGGTACGTGTTGTAGACATCGCAAAACAAAAAACATTTAATTGGATTTCTAGAATTTTCGCATTTACACCGAAAAATATGCTACCCATCGCTCTTCAAAAAATGTCCTACCGATATTCCACATTTTTAAAGCAGTGTCTATACCATTGATTCCCAAAGTGGTCTATATCGACCGCTAGGGGTCTATGACAACCTGCAAGGGGTCTACGTCCGCGAAAAAAAATTTGGGGGTCCATAAAATGAATATGGGGGTCCACGATAGTGGATCTTAACACATACACTGATAGTACCTATTTACTTACATCATACTATCTTATAATATCAAAACATATACATTATTTATAAAAGTATCTATGAAGTAAAAAAATTATTATATATGTTTATAAAATTGTGTAAGTTGTAGGATGCTGGTATTCGCTTTGTGGTCGCAATACCTTTCGAACTTGTAAGTCGCAGTCTCAGAGCTTCGCTACCTTGCACTGGCTTGTTCAATTCGTCACTCTATAAATACGAATGTGGGACAAATACGTTTATTCGTTTCCTGAATCTTGAAAGAGAAAGTGCTAAGAAAATATTTTGAAAAATATATATCACACAAATTATAGTGAGTCAGTGTTATTTTGTTTGAGAGTGCTGGAGAAAAGTAAGTACATTATTTTTTATTAAATTTTAGTTTTGTAGTCGTAGTTAGTAAAGATGGACAAATTACGCCAATCATGACTTTAGTTATTAGTAGTTAAATATTCAATCATGCAAAATTACACGAGTACTAATCAATAGTTTCTTTTTGAAAGTTTTAGCAATCGATAATATAATTACAGTGCAATCTCCGTAATTCGAGCTAATTGTTGCAAGAAGATGTTCGAATTATGGAATGTTTTCGGAAAAATCAAAAAATATTTTTAATATACAGCTGCTGGATTTTCTGTCTTATTTAAATAATTTAATTTTGCCCACAGATGACTGATGCCATATCCGAATCTAAAAAGAAATGTAGACAGTACAGTGTTGATTATTTGAAAATTGGCTTCATACCATCATTGCCGGACAAACAATCGCCTATGTGCCTTTTATGCAACAAAGTTTTGGGCAATGACGCTATGAAACCATCTAAACTGCAAGATCATCTGAGAAGATGCAACCCTGATAAAACAGAGAAAGATTTGAAATACTTTCAAAGACTCAAAGATAAATTTCAGAAGAGACCTACACTGGACAGAATGTTCGCTTCGACGTCACAAAGAAATGATGATGGTTTGCGGGCGTCTTACAATATCTCGTTACTTATAGCAAAATCCGGAAAACCGCATACTATCGGAGAGAAGTTAATTTTGCCAGTCGTTGAAGAGGTTTTAAAAACTGTTTTACACAAACCTGCATCTGATATCATCAAAAGAATTCCCTTAAGCAACAATACTGTTGAAAAACGTATTGATGAAATGAGTTCTGATATTGAAAGCTTCTTATGTAATTATTTGCAAACGACCCATTTCTCTGTACAACTGGACGAGTCAACTTTACCTGATAATGCAGCATTATTATTGGTATATGTTCGTTTTATTATGAATCAAGAAATCTACGAAGAACTGCTCTTCGCAAGAACTTTGATAACCGACACTAAAGGTGAATCAATATTTCATGTTTTGAAGGATTACTTCATTGAAAAAGCAATTCCTTTATCAAAATATAATATCAGAAGCTACAGATAGAGCACCTGCCATGGTTGGACGTCATCGTGGATTTATAAGCTATTTAAAACAAAATGTGTCAGGGGTGTTAGCAATACATTGCGTCATTCATCGACAACATTTGATTGCTAAAAATTTGAGTGTTAGATTGCATGAATCACTTCATTTAGTCATTGATGCAGTAAACCGAATCCGAAGCAACGCGTTGAATACGCGGTTATTTGCGCAGTTGTGACGACGAACACTTTCATCAATTACTCCTTCACACTGAAGTACGCTGGCTGTCGAAAGGCTTATGTTTGACAAGATTTGTTGCACTTTTTGAGACTATTTGAGAATTTCTGGATACTAAAGATAAAATCTTAAAAAGAAAATTTAATGAAGAGGAAAACAGACATCGCCTATTTAACGGATTTGTTTACAAAATTTAATATGGTTAATTTGCAATTACAAGGCGTCAGTTTAAATTTGATTAAAACAAAGTCCATCTTATCAGCGTTTCTTGCCAGAGTTAAACTAATGAAGCAAAATACTGGACGGGGCGAATTTTCTCAGTTCCCCAATTTGTCACAGACAAGCTGCCAGGAAGACGACGTTTCAACTTACGTTCAACATTTAAATGGCCTCTATTCAGATTTTGAATCTAGGCTTGAGGATATTTTGACTATGGTAATACCACCGTGAATAATTAATCCATATGGTGACATAGAAGAAACGAATGTCATAATACAAGAGGAACTGACTGAACTAAGTACAAACGAAGAACTTGAGGTTCAGTTTAAAAACGGATATCAGCAATTCTGGCTGCAAAACAACATACCCGTTACTTATCCCGTATTATGGCATATAGCGAGGAAATTTTTAATCTCCTTTCCATCGTCATACCTAGTGGAAAGGGGGTTCAGCGCTGTTACCAATCTCCTAACGAAAAAAACAAACAGACTGGACATCATTAGCCGAGGAGATTTAAGATTAACCCTTACAAAATTGACGCCAAATGTTGATAATTTTTTATTAAAGCATCAGGTTCATCCTTCTCACTAAAAATATTGACTTATTGCTTATGTTATTTTATTTATAGTTTATTTTATGTTTATTGGTGTCTGACCAATAAATGCCCGCATTGGGAATAAGTGCCCGCATTGATTTTTTAAAGAACCCCCCTTTATAGAAAATATTTTTTTTTAAATTATTCTGAAAATTCAAGGATAGGTACACACTAAAATTCGTTAATTTTTTGCCTATTTTTAGATAACTTAAACGTATAAGTAGCGGAATTTAATCAAACTAACAGTGAAATTATTGTATGTGTATGTTACGTATATTTTACATAACAGATACAAAATTTTATTTTGAGTAGTTTTAATTTAAATTCAATTAATAAATGTATAAATTAACATGTGTTTTTACTTTAAGTTTTTAACACTAAACTTCACTACAGTTAGAAATTTACAGGAAATCAATATCAGGTAAGTAGGGGGTCTACCCAACACGGAAAAACATGGCAAGGGGTCTACGACACAAAAAAGTTTGTGGAACTCTGGTCTATACTTTCATCTGATATGTATATTAATGTATCATCTGCAAATATCTGAAGTTTAAAATAATCTAAAATATTACAAATGTCATTAATGTATAAGGTAAGTAGTAGTGGACCTAATTTACTACCTTGTGGTATACCAACAGAAATGTTTTTTGATCTTGATAATGTAGAACCAATTTTGGTTTTTTGACTTCTGTCAATTAAATAGTTTTGTAGAGTTTTGAATACAAATCCTGCAAGTCCGTATTGATTCAATTTTGTAAGTAATTTATCCCTATCAATAGACTCAAACGCCCTTTTGAAGTCCAAAAACACTGTTAGTGTACGTTTCCGATTGTCCATGCGTCTCCTTCAATCCTCTAAAACCATTTGTGTTGCCGGTTCCTCAGTTGAGTGTTTCCTCCTGAATCCAGCTTGAAATTTGGTTAAAATGTTATTTGGTGAACAATTTTCATTTTCGCACGTTCACATAAAAAGTTATCTCAGGAAGCTCAAAGCAGCTGAAGTTAGGTACATCATTAAAACGATTTATGGGAAAAATGCTAATTTGAAATCTCTAGAATTTTCTCAAACTGCTTATCGTTCTTCTTCTGAATCATACTCCTTGTACAGGGTGCGGCAGAGAGGACGGACGTTTTTGGGATGGGTCCGCCTCCATCTACGAGAGAGGTGGGGAGGGTGCCGTTTGACTCGTGGGATCCTAGCATTATTTTATAGAGATGATCAAAGTTGCGATTTTGTGATCGCATTTAAAACTGCGATTGCGATTTACCACTCACTGCGAGTGCAACCTGTGATTGCGATTTGAAATTGTTGGACTGTGTTATTTCATTATTTCCCTTCTATAAAAGGTTAATTACATTAAATTGGTCATATTTAACTGTTATGTGTTAACAACTGTTATCACAAAAAATGAAATAACATTGTATTTGTGTTATAAAGTTTAGGAGAAATGATAATACCTTTTTTTTTAAATCTTATAATTCCAAATTTGGAGATTTTATTAAAAATGAAAACAAATGACTCTTATAATTATAATTTTAATTAGAAGAATGCAAAAACTAAACCCAACAGGTAATATGTTAAACTGCAAACATTTCTTTTCAAGAACTTAACAAGGTTGGTTTATTTGCAGCTATAGCTAACTTCGCACGTGAGATGGAAGCACTGATCGATGAAAATGAGAACCTCAAGGCTAGAGTATATGCGAACAAGCCCCGAACTCTGGACGAATTGAAGGACGAAATTCGCGTGGAAGTCGCCCAAGTTGAGAGAGCGATGTTGGAGAGAGTCTACGCGAACTTCCAAGAACGCCTCCAGCACTGCATCAACGATTTGGGCCACCACATGCCTGATGTGATTTTCCACACTTGACTGTCTCAAATGCTATTTCCTTGTGAACCTGATTCCATCAATAAATTTGTTTTCGACTAAAAATTAACTGTTTTATGATTTTTTTAAAACGGTCCATCCTCTCTGTCGCACCCTGTATATTGATAAAAATGTCACGCTACTCATTGTCTTGTTAACAATTACGTAAGAAATTATGTCACTAGTAACTTGTCAAAATTTTTGTTAACACGTCCAAACTCATTTACCAAAATTTCCCGTGAATTTAAATGCAAAATGTTGTCCGTAATTTCCAGAAGACTGAAACCTGCAGATAAAACTCGCCTAGGTAGAATAGTGTATTTTACTACTACTGTCATTATTCTAAACAGCATTGCTTTAAGGTTTCTCAAGTGATTCGTGTGGTGATGATAAAGAACCTAGTGCACCAGTCATTTGCACAGAGATACCGGGACCTAATACCACAAAGCTTATCAGAGATCTTCAGCCTTTCCAGGTAAATGATCCTCATAAACCATTATTAGTTTTTGTTCAGGGGAAAAGAAGAGAGTAGCTCTAAACTAGAAATAAAGTTCGTCCGACCATGGACAGCTGTCCTGTGTTATTTGGAACTCCTCAGCTTGGATCAGGCTTGGACTCGGTGGTCAACTAAGAAAGCTGAGCAACTATCCTCTATCCAAACAACAAGGTCTATCGAAATGAGACAGCACAAAGTGCCATCTGTTACCGGACTCGACCACTGCGAAAATGAAAACAGCAAGCTGACTGTTAGAACTGTATTTGTTCCTACAAATGTAGGACGCCTTTATGACCTCTTTCATAGTCCTTTCTCTCCTCCAGAAAGGCCGGGGTATTTCTAGATTTCTACTGTTCCGTTGAGACTATGTTTTCTTTTTGAATTGTAGAAAATTTCAAGCTGATGTAAATCAAAAGCATGAACAATTTGATGCAAATAGATGTTTGTAACATAACCACAAAATAGAGGCCATAAAGGCATCCTACAATTGTAGGAACGACTGACGATACGACCCGAAATGCAATCAATTCTAGTTCTATAGTAGATACGTCTATTCGTTATTTACCAAACTACAGTGGCGACCTGAAATTTTTAACTTTCTCTGTAGACTTTCATTTTCGCAGACGACGTAACTGGAATATTGATTGTAGAATACAGAGGGAGTGAACGTGTTTGCGGACTATGAAGCCTCGATAGGTAACTTCTTGACTGATGTGGATGGAAATGCATTTCTAGATTTAAACATGCAATCGGACACAATGCCCCTAGGCTATAACCATCCTGAAGTCCTGCGGATATTTGAGGATCCAAGGAAAGTTGTAAGGTAGCTCTTTTGGAAGTGTACATGAGTTTGAATGCGTTTGTTTCCAGAAAAATATCGTGAATAGGCCAGTTTCTGGGGTATACCCTGGAGATTATTGGGCAGAGAAGATCAAGAATATTGTCAACAAAGTACGTATGCGGTAACTAAGTCCCATTAAGGAGGTAATAAGCTCTATTTATTTACGTAGCTCATATACAGGGTGTCTGCAAAGTTGGGGTTTTCCTTTTCAGAAACAACTACCCTTGAAATAACAAAGGTAATGTGTAGTGAAACGAGGGCGACCAAGAAAAAAAAAAGGAAAAAGTACTCACTATCCAGTTGACGAGAAGGGCTAAGTACGTCTCTGCCCGAAATCATACCGCTCCAACAGAAAATGAAATCAGCTGATGCGCTACCGAGCAGACGCAGGCAAACAAGGAAGCCAAAATGTTGCGTAAAAAGTCTAGGTATTGCCTCCCGTCCAATCGATTTGGGAGAATAAATGGTCCAACGAGCATACCGTTCACCATGCCAGCCCAAACATTCACCGAAAATGTTTGTTGAAAATGTGCCCGACGGACAGCGTGCGTATTTTCTACTGGCCAAACATGAGTGTTGCGAAAGTTATTCAACCCCATTACGCGTGAACGTAGATTCGTCTGTCACCAATATGCACTTCAAAAAGTCCGGATTATTGTCATGTTGATGCAACAACCATTCACAAAACCGCACTCTTGCTGGAAAATCGTCAGGTTGAAGGGGTTGTACACGTTGGACGTGAAACGGATACAGCCCCTCTTCACGCAGCGTTTGCCACACTTTAGTTTTTGATACTTGCAATTCTCTAGCCACGTCTCTAGTGCTTGTTGAGGGATTCTCGTCTACGCGATTACCTCTACACGCGTGACTGTAACCGTCGGTTGAAGGTTGCATACTGACCTGACACACTGACCCCGACCCAGTTCTGTCGTCGGGTTGAGCTAGTGTCCTAGTACCATTCGGGGATGTCGCGGCTACAGGGCGGTATTTAGATATTTTTGATGTTGCAGAGCCCTTTATCTCGGTTCCCTTAAGACATTGGTGTATATGGTACTAAGAAAAATTGCTTATGTTTTCAAGATCTACACGTCGTGTAAAGGAAAACCCCAACTTTGCGGATACCCTGTATAGTTTACGTGTTTTCATAAATCATTACTAAGGTATGTACCTTGAGGTGCCACGAGACAGCAACAGCGACCAAGCCTGAGAGCGATCCCCGAAACTTTTTTAAATGATGTTCGCGACAATATTTCATTAATGTAACTCCTGAAACTCATACTGTGGTTTTGAAGAGAAATTAAAGCATATATAGTTCTGTTCACGGTTTTTGACGGTTTCTTTCTGCAGCGGCTACTCGCTCTTAAACATAAAGGTGGATTGGGTATTAGGGGATTGTTGTTTTTTACTTTCTGGAAATGCTTCTATAAATTCAACACAGACAGTCGAAGTTGTAGCTGTAACTTCAGCCATTACTGTATGTTTTATATCGGAGATTAACAAAGGTAAACTAAGATCACACGTTCGTGGCAAGTAAAATTGTCGTACAGTGACAAGCATGAAAGTGCAAACAAATGTGAACTCATAGAAGACGATTGCATAGCTATGTGTGAGCAATATGGATGTGTGAAGGAAATTTTTGTAGTTCTGCTGTGACCCATCAAAAACCGTACAAGTACCTATTTGTGATTTGATTCGGCAGGTTAATTGAGCTCCATCAATATTTCATACTGAACTTGTGACAGTGACTGATTTTTTACTTGATAGCTTTGCCACCGGTCTCACAAATCGGTCTCAAACATAAAAGTGGTAGCTGTCTCTTTGCGCTGATGCTGACGTTAACTAAATCATGTTAAACTCATTTCTGAAACTGTTTTAGTAGGTATCTCCCAACTTGCCAAACGTTTGTACGAGTGACTGCGATGCAAAAGCAATCGAAAATGGCTTCAAGGCTATGATGATAGCCTTTCAACGTACCCAAAGAGGTCAAACATCGATAACTGAGGAAGATCTGAAGTCAGCTATTTTGAATCAACCTCCTGGAACTCCTGAACTGACCATCATGTCTTTCAAGGTAATCAATACGATGTCCCTTAAAACCTATGCCGTACTGACGAATCCCAATGAGAATCGAATCGCGACGTATACGGTTGATCACAGAGAAGGCAGTACTGGGGAGGGGAAGCTTGGCTGGTTTCCACATTTGGCCCTTCTTGCTACACACAAAAGAGAATGATCTTGACTCAAGAACAACTATCTTCAAATGAGGACCGTGACTTCGGTATGTTTGTAGGTATATTCAGGGTTTGTCCGGAAAGTAATAGGACTCATTTTCTTCCGCCATGACTTTACTTCGGAACGTACGCGCACCGACTGGATTCAGTATAGGACATTGTCTCCGAGCACTTGGAGAGTCAGGACAGGCATTTTCGCGCGACGTGTTTCTGGGAGTGGTGCAAGCCGAAAATGCAGCGTTCGTTAGAGCAGGGGTACTCGATTAAATTCTGTGTGAAACTCGGTAAATCTGCGACAGAGACGTTTGATATGATCAAGCAGGCTTACCCAGGTGTTGCTTTAGCAAGAAGTGGTGCGTTTCGGTGGCACCAGGCCCTTTTGGAGGGCCGGGAAGAGGTCGCTGATGAAGACCGTGCTGGAGGACCTTCGACTTCGACAAACACCGATAATGTGACTCGTGTGCGCAAAGTTTTGAACTCAGACCGTCGACGAGTAAAAGTGTGCCAAGAAAATTTGAACATGTGTGAAAGTGACCCCCAATTTTTGACTCACGTAATCACAGGTGACGAGTCGTGAATCTTTGAGTATGATCCCGAGACAAAGAGGCAATCTTCCGAGTGGCACACGACGGCGTCTCCTCACCCAAAAAAGGGAAGAATGAGCAAATCCAAAGTGAAAACGATGCTCATTGTCTTTTTTGACATCAAAGGCATCGTCCACCATGAATTTGTTCCTTCTGGACAAACCGTCAACGCCAAGTTTTACGTGGAAGTGCTCAGGAGACTCAAACGAAGGATCAGTCGGGTCCGACAAGACATCGCAGCCGACTGGAAGGTGCACCACGACAACGCCCCGGCTTGCACCGCCTTTCTTGTGAACAGCTACCTGACCAAGGCCGGCATCCCATCGCTTCCGCAGCCGCCCTTCAGCCCAGATGTGCCCCCCCCCCCGGACTTTTTTTGTTTCCTCGCCTGAAAAGGTCGATGAAAGGCAAGCATTTTGAGACGACAGAGGGGATCCAAGCAGCATACACCGCGGCTCTCAAGGCTATTCCGGAGAATGCCTTCCATGACGCCTTCAATGTTTGGAAATCGCGCTGGCAGCGCTGCATCAACGATTTTGAAAGTTTTTAAAGAATTGTAACGATTGGCTCAATAATTTTTTTTAAATCGACTCAGTCCTATTACTTTCCGGACAAACCCTGTATCTTTGAATTAAGGTCAATTTCTTAATTGTAAGTGCCACGTGTCCTTAAAACAACTAAATTACCTCATTGGAAGTATCTGTGATCTCAAATCAAGATCATAATCTCATAGAAACTCATACTCTTGAATCAACAGCACTCTTTTTTGTGTGTAACCTCGTGGTACTAACACTGTACAAGCCATCTACTATTGATTATTGAATGAACCAGCTCACACAGTACAACGTCCATGGCTAGGAATTAACTTTCGAGGCGGAGACTTGAACGCGCAAATAGACTTCGAAGTTGAGTCATTTATTTTAACAGTGAGTAGATCTGATCAAAAGAAATGTTTTTTTCCTCTACCATTTTTCTGGTAAAATTAAAGTAACAAAGTTATAGCCCTTTGGAAGTTTGAGTACCGCCCTGTCTCAATAATAATATTATGTGCTCGTGTTTGGCGGCAACGGATATAATCCGCCTTATCAGTTCATGGCATCGGAAACAAAAAAGCCAAAGAATTTGGAACGATGTTTTTACAATTATTTCTACTAGCGCCTAACCTCAATGGATGGTAAGAGACCACAATCACCACAGTCCACCTTATTTTGTTAACCGGATACATAACAAGAGGAATCTCGAGATCATGGTCTGACGTTTTTCCTCAATATGACCATCACTCTACTTTGAGCTACATCTTCCTTCGGCATTTGGTGCAGATTGACAGGCAATCAGACCGGTGAAGCATATAACAAATGGATTCTATTATTATTAATTGAGATCCTAACCAAAAGCTATAAACTCAAAAGAGAGATAAGAAATTAAACAGAAAAAAGATCATGTCATAAGCAAACTAGAGTTCGTTGTACACCCATCTGTCTAAACGATTCTTGAACTCGTTAACTATAGATGCATTAACAACATCGCATGACAGCCTGTTTCAGGCATCAAAGCCTCGGCCTCCCCTCATAACAAGGTCATGGAATACCGTACGGAATGCGTGTAGCCCTCATTTGAAAATTATCCATAATTGGCCTAACATACGACGTATACTAAGTGACATATAAATCCGAACACCCAGTTTAAATGGTTTTATTTTAATAAAATTTTGTATAAGTACTTAATGAAGCATAATAAGTAAATGGTAAAAATTTCAAAATGATTGCACTGCTTTAAAGCCCTTTGACCTTTAATAATGTGTGGATGCACCCTGATGTGCTACGCATTCTCCAACGCGCCTAGGCATGCTTCTGATCAGGTGGTCAATGTCCTCCTGTGGTATCTCATTCCAGGCAACCACCAACTCCTCTTGAAGTGCTTCTAGAGTCTGAGGAGGACGTTGCAAATTGAGCAATCTCCTACCCATAATATCCCACACGTGCTCTATTGGGGATAAGTCGGGAGATTTTGGTGGCCATGGTAACAATGTGACATCATTATGTTGAAAGAAGTATATTGTGACTCTTGCAACATGTGGTCGGGCATTATCTTGTTGGAAAGTTGGATCTGCCAGGGTGTCAAGATAGGGTAAAAGATGGGGTTCTAGAACTTCGTGGATATAACGCTGCGCGTTCATGTTACCTCTGATGAAGATTAAAGGTGACCTGGAACTATAAGTTATAGCACCCCAAACCATAACTCCAACAGTGTGATGAACATGTCTTTCAACAAAAACCTGTGGATTCCTCCTTTCACCACGTCGCCTTCTAACCCTGGCACGACCATCGTGCATGCCTAAACAAAATCGAGATTCGTCACTAAAGACAATACTGTTCCATTCCTGATCCCAGAGTGACCGTTGTCTGCACCACTCAAGGCGATTACGTCGGTGTTCTCGAGTTAAAGGGAGGACCCAGTGTGGCCCGTATGAAAACAAGCCAAAACTTCTCATTCGTCGGTAAACACTTCGCAAGCCAATAGGTCTTCCGTGTTCTGCAAACCATTCATTTGCAATGGACCTTGTAGTGGAGAAACGTTCCCTTAAGGCCAATAATCTTAGGCGGCGATCATCACGGTCTGTTGTTCTACGGCGGCGTCCAGTGCCCCTTGCTCTTTGCGTACGGCCTTCTCGAAGCCATGCCTGACAACACCTAACCACAGTGTCTACACTTCTTTGCACTCTAACTGCAATGGCCCGAAAAGAAAGTCCAGCTTCCCGAAGTCCCACTATACGGCCCTTATCAAACTCACTAAGTTGACGAAATCGTACAGGTCTCCGTACTCTAGGCATCGTAACCGATCGTAAAGGATGTCAAGAACCAAAATCCGCCAACGTTGATTATTTACTGCGGCTGAAATATTCATTTTTAGAGCGTTAGTGAATTAAAAAAAAGCAGTATAAAAACCGGAATGTCCAGCTGATAAGGCTGAAAATTTTTTCACTTGTTATTTACAGTAAGATAAATACATTCACCAACTTTTATTAAAATAAAACCATTTAAACGGGGTGTTCGGATTTATATGTCACTTAGTATACATATCTCAAGGTTACTTGATGCAACCTTCTCTACAATCTCATCCACAAGGGATCTTTTACCACCAAAACTTCGCTGACATTTCGGATCAAACTTAGCAATACCCTGTCGACAATATGACACGTAAGAACTGGCGTTCGTCAGGGCTTGAGGCATTCATCTACTTTGACTGTTTAGAGCAGGGCTCTAGGTGCGATTTATAGACATTGATTGATGATTGAGTGCGCGCCATGGATTTTGGACAAACCTTAACACTTTTCTAATGGAATCAGAGAAGCTTTATTTATAAATCTAAATTGTATCTCAAATCAAGATATGAACATTTTTTTATTTTTCAACATAGTCAACATAAACATTTGTTAGGCCATGACACCAGCCTTTGCATCCCGTAGTCAAAGAACGCTGTCGCCTGATCGTTAAACTGGTATCTTTCAACATGTCATCATTTTCCAAGAGCATTCCACCAGGAAATTCCTTTATTTTTGGAAAAAGTTGAAAGTCTAAGCTGTATGGTGGATGATCCAGTAATTACCAACATATCTAGTTATGTCTGTGTTCTTGCTGCATAACGTGAGGCCGAGCGTTGTCGTGAAGCAGAACGACGCTGCTAGAGAGCAGGCGCGTCTGATTCAAGAACTTGCTGGTGAATTTCAGCAGGAGGAACTGTTTTGCGTTTAAAACCCGAATTACGGAGCGCACTTCAAAATCGGCGAACTTACTGATTGACGTGACGACAACCAAAATAATATAATCACACATCCAACACCGTCAGATACGTAGTGAGAGACTGGCCAAGAGTGTCTGAGGTTGAACAGACGAAACGTGCCAGGATGCGCGGGCATGGTGCGCAATCGGTTCTTACTTCAAAAAAGGCCGTCGTAGGATTCGGTAATTCTGAATTGGTATTCAAATTATTATAATATGGCATTTCCTTCTCATTCATTGTAATATACTAAGTGACATATAAATCCGAACACCCAGTTTAAATGGTTTTATTTTAATAAAATTTTGTATAAGTACTTAATGAAGCATAATAAGTAAATGATAAAAATTTCAAAATGATTGCACTGCTTTAAAGCCCTTTGACCTTTAATAATGTGTGGATGCACCCTGATGTGCTACGCATTCTCCAACGCGCCTAGGCATGCTTCTGATCAGGTGGTCAATGTAGTCCTGTGGTATCTCATTCCAGGCAACCACCAACTCCTCTCGAAGTGCTTCTAGAGTCTGAGGAGGACGTTGCAAATTGAGCAATCTCCTACCCATCATATCCCACACGTGCTTAATTGTGGATAAGTCGGGAGATCTTGGTGGCCATGGTAACAATGTGACATCATTATGTTGAAAGAAGTATATTGTGACTCTTACAACATGTGGTCGGGCATTATCTTGTTGGAAAGTTGGATCTGCCAGGGTGTCAAGATAGGGTAAAAGATGGGGTTCTAGAACTTCGTGGATATAACGCTGCGCGTTCATGTTACCTCTGATGAAGATTAAAGGTGACCTGGAACCATAAGCTATAGCACCCCAAACCATAACTCCAACAGTGTGATGAACATGTCTTTCAACAAAAAACTGTGGATTCCTCCTTTCACCACGTCGCCTTCTAACCCTGGCACGACCATCGTGCATGCCTAAACAAAATCGAGACTCGCCACTAAAGACAATACTGTTCCATTCCTGATCCTCGAGTTAAAGGGAGGACCCAGTGTGGCCGGTATGAAAACAAGCCAAAACTTCTCATTCGTCGGTAAACACTTCGCATGCCAATAGGTCTTCCGTGTTCTGCAAACCATTCATTTGCAATGGACCTGGTAGTGAAGAAACGGTCCCTTAAGGCCAATAATCTTAGGCGGCGATCTTCACGGTGTGTTGTTCTACGGCGGCGTTCAGTGCCCCTTGCTCTTTGCGTACGGCCTTCTCGAAGCCATGCCTGACAACACCTAACCACGGTATCTACACTTCTTTGCACTCTAACTGCAATTGCCCGAAAAGAAAGTCCAGCTTCCCGAAGTCCCACTATACGGCCCCTATCAAACTCACTAAGTTGACGAAATCGTACAGGTCTCCGTACTTTAGGCATCGTAACCGATCGTAAAGGATGTCAAGAACCAAAATCCGCCAACGTTGATTCTTTACTGCGGCTGAAATATTCATTTTTAGAGCGTTAGTGAATTAAAAAAAAGCAGTATAAAAACCGGAATGTCCAACTGATAAGTCTGCAAATTTTTTCAGTTGTTATTTACAGTAAGATAAATACATTCACCAACTTTTATTAAAATAAAACCATTTAAACTGGGTGTTCGGATTTATATGTCACTTAGTATATCTTTAGAACGCTGAACATGGAACCACGCCTGGAGCAATGTCAGCGTCCCACTCTAATGCACTATCCAAGGTGGACATTCCAGCTTTTGACTGGCCAATAGCTGATTTTCCAAAGTACAAATATCCCTTGGATCACTTTGAGTCGCTCAACAAAGGGCAGGATGAAAGGTGTTTAGCCATGGTTGAAGATCTCGTGGATCACTGCGAGAAAAGAAGTAAGTAACTGGTACCCTTTTGGGAAAGAAAAATTGATTTTTAAAGACATGTCTTTCGGAAAAACCAGGAAATATGATCTATCAGTGGTATCACTTCATTAAATTGTTTTTTGATACAGTTTAGAGTTTTGAACGACAATCAAGCAGGATACTCGAGGGCAGGTCATTTATGTATATTAAAAATAGCAGGGGGCCAAGTACTGGTCCCTGCGGTACCCCGTTACAAATAGGCAAAACCTCAGAGGCGGTGCCTCAGAGCTTACATCCAGCTTCCTATTTGACAAATACGGACGAAACAGCGCTAGCTCCTGAGGGAGCTTAAAAAATGTGTCATGTAACTTTTTTCAGATATGCCTGTGGCAGGAATCGCCGTAGAGCCTATCCAGTCAGACTGCACTACGGAAGCATCCGCAGACTTCTTCCAAGGCCTGCAACAAATTACAAATCGCAGAGGCATCTACCTGATGTTCGACGAAAGTCGTACGGGCTGTGGCGCTACTGGAAAATTCTGGTGCCACGAAAATTTCTGCCTCCCAAACCGTGTTGATGCGGTCGTTTTTGGCGAGAAGTGCCAGCTGGCCGGGTTTTTCCATTCCTTAGAACTCAGGTATCGTTTACCGATTCTTAAATCTACGATTATTGTCCAAACGCTACACCAGAAGAATTTAGCAAGCGTTTTATGTCGCACCAATGCGACAAAGCTGTGCATCTGGATCGCTCATCCGCAAATAAACATACGAGGGATGTCTTTCAAGTTTTGCATATTATATAAATAAAACAACTCTGTAGGTAGTTTTAAATGACTTTATTGTTTTTCAAAGTATTCTCCACGAAGATTAATTAATACACATCTGCATGTGCTCGAACCAATTTTCGAAGTACTCATTCCACTCGTTTGCTGGCAGATCCAAAACGGTATTTTTGAATGCGTCAACTGCTTCTCCTGGTGACTGGAACCTTTGACCACGCAGTCTGTTTTTAATTTTCGGGAAAGTAAAGAAATCGTTAAGACTTAGATCGGGACTATATGGGGGATGGTCCAATAATTCCACGTTTTCTTCCGTTAAATACTGCCTTGTTTTTTGGGCTGTGTGCGAGCTTGCATTGTCTTGGTGGAGGATGATTCTTCTTTCGGGGTTGATTTTTCGAAGCTCGATGATGACTTTTGGCAAACAAATAATTTTCTTACTCCTAATTTTTCATGTAAAATTTTTTGAATTGAGGTCTTTGAGATCTTCAAGGACGTCTCAATCTCGCGATATGTCACATGTCTATCTTCAATGATGAGTTTATTGCGCACAGCATCGACGTTTTCCTGGGTGACTGCCGTTTTTGGTGCACCGACCCTGGGATCGTCGCTAAGGCTCACCCGTCCACGTTTAAAATCTCCATACCAACGGGAAATTGTCGACTGATGTGGCGCTTCGTTGCCGAAAACAGACAGTAACTCAGCAAGGCATTCTTGTTAGGATAATTGTCTCTGAAAGTTGTAATAAATTATGGCGCAAAAATGTTCTCGGTTGAGTTCCATTTTTCTAATGACTTGGTGACACTTAAACATTCACTGTAGTGAGAACACTGCACGTATTCTTGTGAAACTTTGAATTTAAGTTTACTAAAGAGTGAGGTTAAGATTCAGTACTGACGTTCGATCCGCGCGGCCTACTATGTTTCTATATGCAAAACTTAAAAGATATCCCTCGTATTTTTGAGTCGTACTGTAAATAATCCACCTAGACAAAATTGTATTTTCGATAGTTGAAATAGATTATTTACATACACTTTCAACGCATGATACTATAACTCGAGAAGATATGCTCAGTTCGCGGTCGAATTTCGTATGGTTTATCTGAAGTCACTTGAAATAGCATAAAAACCTTTGGTCGGTGCGTCCTTTGTAATTTCATGACGTATCATAGGCGTGCGGTTATTTATTTAGTACGATAATAATAATGTTTTTATATCACAATAAATGGATTTTACTATTTTCTTATTTTTTTGATTTGGGATAAAAAATACTTATATTGGGAGTTTAATTTATGTTGACTGAAAGTTAAGAAATGGAAAAATTACAGAATTCCAACGTTTGACATAGGCAAATATTTACATAGCAGGTAGGTATATAAAAAGGTATATAAAGACTTACATTATAGGTATTTATATATCATCCTCGCCTTCGGAGCTGTCGCTAGAGTCATCTTGTAGAGGAATTACAACGGGATTTACAGGAGGCAAAACACAATATTCATTTTCTTTTTCAATAATATGCCTAGAACACTGCTTCCATAGGTCTGTGGCAGCAATATGAGATACTGCATCTCTTATTGTGGCCAATAGCGATTCACTTAATTGAGGGGTCTGATTATGTTTTCTTACTTTTTTTTTAAAGCAGCCCAGACCAACTCAATCGGGTTAAAAATGCAGTAATAGGGAGGTAGACGTAATACTTCATGGCCATTTTGCTGAAGCAGATTGTCAACAACATACTCTTTTTCAAATTTTTGTCTTTTAATAAGATCCAATAATATGGCTTTGGTTGATTTTTGTGGTATTTCCATTCCCTTATACTTCATAAAATCAATAATGCCTTGTTTTTTGTGCCTGTATTCGGAATTTTGTTCTTCTGTCGGGAATGCTATGGCGCATTGTCCATAATAATCACTGAATTTGGGGAAATGTTTGGTATTAACTGCTGCTCTATCCACTTTTCAAATAAGTCGGAGGTCATGTCCTCATGATAGTCGGCACATGATTCTTTGATATTTTTGGCAGATAACAGCAAGGCATTAGGTATAAATCCATTTTCACTGCCAGCATGGAGAATAATGATTCGTTTTCCACGGTTGCATGGTGCATTTAAAATGCACTTGTTGTTGTCGTCAACCCAGCCGTACTGCACAACATCATGGGTATCATACCACTTTTCGTCCAGGTAAATCAGATTTCTTTTCTGCTCTCTATAGATTTTAACTTTGTGCCAAAATTCTTGTCGCAATTCAACGATTCGAGACGACTCCATAATCACCATTCTTTTATCTAATTTTTTGTATTGAAAACCACACAGTTTTACAATACAGTGCAGTGAGTCTAAGCATTTGTAATTATAAAAATCTTCAGGATAATCTTTTAATTTATCACGTATCATTTCCAACGTGGGCACCAAATTTTCTTTATAAAATCCGTATATTATACGACGAATATCTTCCTGAAAACCCACGTCTATTCTTTTTAATTTTTGCCCTATGCGTTTTCTGTGGAAGGAACGGTTGACTACATCTCCCCTTTTTATAACCCGATAAATGGTAGACCGACTGATTTTTGTCAGGATACAAATTCTGTTTAAAATTTGATTTTGCGAGGAATCTGGATTTTCGTTTTTCAGACAATCATACATATTTAGGATTACTCTTTGGGTCTGTTCCTCTAAATCTTTATGAAAGAATTCTGCCTGCACAGGTTCATCAACCATCTCCTCGTGGCTTGGAGCATTCTCCCAAGGTCTCCAAAGAGCCATATTTAGGACACACAAGAACAATCAACACAACAATTAAATCAACAAGTAAACTGAGTATTCAAAAGTCAAAAACACACAAACTAATAAAATCTATGAAAAAACACGGACAGACTAAAGAAAACACGTTTATTCACCGCTACACGGCACTGGCTAAACTGTTTCAATTTTCAGTAGCCACCTGCACTTTTTTGGAGCTCTGAAATACACGCTTTCTCATTGGCTATGTCCACGCATAGGCGTGCTTTACTCCACGTGGACCGGTGAAACTGCCTTTGATCTTATACGGGGGATATTTGCTGGGAAATTTGGCGATTTTTGCAGCAACAGAGCGTGTTAAATATAGATATATAAAACGCACCCGGTATTTCACAGTGTTTCAAGTGACTTCAGATAAAGTATACACATTTGCGGATGACGTCACTCGGTGACAAACGTTTAAGCAACATGCTAATTTAGTTTTAAATTCTGTTAGTTGATGCTCGATACCCTTGATGTTCGAAAATGAGTGAAATTTTAACAAAAATGTTAAGAAAAACAATCGAGCAGTGTAATAAAAAGAAAAAACTTTGACAGTTTAAATGGTATACGTTGTAGAATATTTAAGTGTGGAGGGCAAGTTTCGCCACATCTTGTTCATAAAAAAAATGAATCGAATCAACATTTTTAAGCCCGCTATTGATATTCGTCGAAATGAAATGTTCCTACATATTCACAAAATCAATAAATAAAATATAAAAATAATAAAAGTTCATTGTTTCTAACTGAGAAAACAAATGAAACATATGATATATCGTTGAATTCGTAGAAAAAGATGCTATTAGGTACTTTTTTCGGATTATATAAAAAAATAATGTTGATTATGGTTTCTCAAAAACAAACAGTCATACACAAAGTTTAAAAACACCATCATGTCGTGCCTAAAAAGTGCCTATGGAACAGTTTCATTAGTGTTTGTGATCTTCCTCAAAATAAAGTCAGAAAAAAATAAAAATGATTTGGTCAAATTTTAGTCTTTCCCTAATATCTCAGTAAGTCATGAAACTCTTTTCTCGGAGACATGTAAATACGCCCAAAGAGCGCAACATTTTCCTAATTTAAACGGTTTGTCAGTTCCAAATGCGATATCTAGGTTTTTAAGTTGCAAATTTCCAACACGTTTCAGTCCTCAAGAACGTGATCGGATATACGAACCATGGATGGGAGACCCAGTGAAACTATACATCTTGGAGGCAATCATTAGCCTCATAGAAAGATTTAATTTGATGAAACAGGTCCAGAAAACTGGAGATTACCTCAAGAACGGACTAATGGATATGGAAGTATCATACTACGATCTTATACACAGCACAAGAGGAATGGGAACCATTCTTGCCTTCGATGCGCAATGCCCTGCACTCAGAGACAATATTGTATGTCATTTGAGAAAGAAAGGTATAAAGACAGTAGATGAGCAACCAAAATTAAATTTAATAACTAATGGGTGATTTTTTTGCTAGTATCTTTTTGGCAACACTGTTTTTGACAGATGACGCGTGAATCGTGTCTTGTGTCATTGTCAAACTTGTCAGTTTGGTTTATAATTCAACCATGAATCGACTTACGAACAAACAACGCCTGCAAATTATTGAATTTTACTATCAAAATTCATGCTCGGTTAAGATAGTGCATCGAGCACTGCTTCCAATTTATGGGCAATTTGGTCGGCCTACTGAGGGAGCTATTCGGAAGCTTGTGACTAAATTTCGAACCCAGTTTACATTATTGGACATTAAACCACCAACACGCAGACGTAGAGTGAGGACTGAAGAAAATATTGCGGCTGTATCCGCCAGTGTTAGTAATGACCGTGAAATGTCGATTCGCCGCCGTTCGCAGCAATTGGGCCTCTGTTACTCCACTACGTGGAAAATTTTGCGACAGGATTTGGGTGTAAAACCTTATAAGATACAGCTGGTGCAAGAATTGAAGCCACACGATCTCCCACAACGTTTCCCATTTGGTGAATGGGCGCTGGCAAAGTTGGAGGAAGATCCACTTTTTTATCGAAAAATTATGTTCAGCGACGAAGCTCATTTCTGGTTGAATGGGTACGTCAACAAGCAAAATTACCGCATCTGGAGTGAAGACCCGCCAGAAGCATTGCAAGAGCTACCAATGCATCCCGAAAAAATCACTGTTTGGTGTGGATTATGGGCCGGTGGCATCATCGGGCCGTACTTCTTCAAAGACGGCAATGGCCGGAACGTAACTGTCAATGGCGAGCGCTACCGTGCGATGATAACAAACTTTTTTTTGCCCAAAATGGAAGAGCTGGACTTGGCTGACATGTGGTTTTAACAAGACGGTGCCACATGCCACACCGCACACGAAACAATGGCCCTATTGAGAGGCGAGTTCGGTGAACAGTTTATCTTTTGGGGCCCGTCAATTGGCCGCATAGATCGTGTGATTTAACGCCGTTGGACTATTTCTTGTGGGGCTATGTTAAGGCTAATGTCTACAGGGATAAACCAGCAACGATTGACGCACTGGAAGCCAATATTGAAGCATTTATTCGTGAGATACCGGCCGATATGTTGGAGAGAGTGTGCCAAAATTGGACCTTGCGCATGGGCCATCTAAAGCGGAGCCGCGGCCAATATTTACATGAAATAATCTTTAAACATTAAATTATATCGACCGTTCTATCGACTCAAATAAAGATTTAATCGTTTTTTCAAATTTTTTGTTTTTTTTTAAAAAAACAAATCCTATACCTCTTAAAAAATCACCCGTTATTTAGGTATCTATCCATTATAAGGTTCGTTTCTATCAATACATATAGCAGGGGGTTAAACAAGTTCTATTCTAGTTTCTGCCGCTTTAGATACCCTTTTAGTAGACGTTCCATTTCAGTACACCTATCGACATAAATGTTAATATTACCTACACTGTGTATGATATTTCAGTTCATATTTTGGACAGAAATCAGCAAAAAGAACCTTATTTTTCTTTTCTCTCCCTCAAAGGCTACGTTCATAACACGATCCGAATATGATACCTTAAATTTCGACATTTTTTATGTAGGTGTCATACTCGGCCAATGCGGCAGTCAAGGCATATCTCTAAGGCCATCTCTAACTTTCACCAAACGACACGCAGATATATTTTTGCAAAAACTGGAAGAAGTTATCAAGGAAACCGAATTGAAGAAACCTAAAAACGACAAGGTTGAAGATATAATCGCTAAATATGGTCCTCCACCGAAACCTTTCAGTCGACCAAGGGTACATCCTTGTGAACAAGCTGCATCGCAGAAGGAAATGAAGATCGAAAAAAAGAAGAAGTTACCTTGTGAGGTATATTCATTATCTGAATTGTTGAATTTGAAATTTCTCAAATTGTGGTATGATGATATTCCATTGTCTTCATTTATAGGAAAAATAAATATTGGTTTAATAGTTTTATCTTGATCTAACGCTTATACTCGTATGAAGTACATTTATTTCTTAAGGCTCTACAGAAATAACAGTCATACTTTATATACGAGTCATCTTAAGAACAAGTTAACACTAACATTTACCTTTTTTACATTTAAACACATGATTTATACATATACTAAGTGACATATAAATCCGAACACCCAGTTTAAATGGTTTTATTTTAATAAAAGTTGGTGAATGTATTTATCTTACTGTAAATAACAAGTGAAAAAATTTTCAGCCTTATCAGTTGGATATTCCGGTTTTTATACTGCTTTTTTTTAATTCACTAACGCTCTAAAAATGAATATTTCAGCCGCAGTAAAGAATCAACGTTGGCGGATTTTGGTTCTTGACATCCTTTACGATCGGTTACGATGCCTAGAGTACGGAGACCTGTACGATTTCGTCAACTTAGTGAGTTTGATAGAGGCCGTATAGTGGGACTTCGGGAAGCTGGACTTTCTTTTCGGGCAATTGCAGTTAAAGTGCAAAGAAGTGTAGACACTGTGGTTAGGTGTTGTCAGGCATGGCTTCGAGAAGGCCGTACGCAAAGAGCAAGGGGCACTGGACGCCGCCGTAGAACAACAGACCGTGAAGATCGCCGCCTAAGATTATTGGCCTTAAGGCACCGTTTCTCCACTACCAGGTCCATTGCAAATGAATGGTTTGCAGAACACGGAAGACCTATTGGCATGCGAAGTGTTTACCGACGAATGAGAAGTTTTGGCTTGTTTTCATACCGGCCACACTGGGTCCTCCCTTTAACTCGAGAACACCGACGTAATCGCCTTGAGTGGTGCAGATAACGGTCACTCTGGGATCAGGAGTGGAACAGTATTGTCTTTAGTGACGAGTCTCGATTTTGTTTAGGCACGCACGATGGTCGTGCCAGGCTTAGAAGGCGACGTAGTGAAAGGAGGAATCCACAGTTTTTTGTTGAAAGACATGTTCATCACACTGTTGGAGTTATGGTTTGGGGTGCTATAGCTTATGGTTCCAGGTCACCTTTAATCTTCATCAGAGGTAACATGAACGCGCAGCGTTATATCCACGAAGTTCTAGAACCCCATCTTTTACCCTATCTTGACACCCTGGCAGATCCAACTTTCCAACAAGATAATGCCCGACCACATGTTGCAAGAGTCACAATAGACTTCTTTCAACATAATGATGTCACATTGTTACCATGGCCACCAAGATCTCCCGACTTATCCCCAATTGAGCACGTGTGGGATATGATGGGTAGGAGATTGCTCAATTTACAACGTCCTCCTCAGACTCTAGAAGCACTTCGAGAGGAGTTGGTGGTTGCCTGGAATGAGATACCACAGGATGACATTGACCACCTGATCAGAAGCGTGCCTAGGCGCGTTGGAGAATGCGTAGCACATCAGGGTGCATCCACGCATTATTAAAGGTCAAAGGGCTTTAAAGCAGTGCAATCATTTTGAAATTTTTATCATTTACTTATTATGCTTCATTAAGTACTTATACAAAATTTTATTAAAATAAAACCATATAAACTGGGTGTTCGGATTTATATGTCACTTAGTATATATGAGGTTAACGCTAACACCTATATAAACCTTTTGGACTTCTGCCGCGCGTCACCTGAAGTAAAACAGTGTAGCCTAGTTTTGAGACGCCTCTCCTACCCATAACCAGCTTGAAGTTCTCCATTTTGATTCAGGCAAAAAACAAAAAATCCATCCGCCCAGACATCAAGGCCAGTGACAAAAGTGACTTCAGTGATCCCTGTGACGCACATTTGGAGGATTGGCAGAGAGAATGTAAAGCTATGTCAAAGGGTGTGAAAAAGTTTAACCCTGATGAAAAACCCGCAAAGAAGCCAGTTGCTTTTGATGGGCCAGGTGTAGAACCTAAGGTAAAGGTTATAAAAAATTGTAAATGTTAATACGTATTGTTATTGTTTTCGGATACACCAAATAAACTCGGAAACCATGAATATAATAGAAATTCTACCCAGGCATAGAACTAAGATGTTTCATCGGCTATGCGATGGTGACTTTGAACTAAAACTTGATCTTCAAGGTAATTACAAGGTCAACTACATTTTTTTAAAGTGGGGCCCATATTTTGATATAGAATGAAACATTTTAAAATCAAATGAGTCCTTGGCCTCCAGAAAAATTACTTTTGAAGGTCAAGGTCTAATCGATAAAATGATCTCGAAAATCACGAGTTGAAGAAAACTTCTACCTAAGCATAGGATTTGGATTTTTTCCTGGCCATCTGACGATGACCTTGAATTTGACCTTCAAGGTCATTTCAATGTTCAGGGTACTTTTTCGGATGATAGAGGATTCCTTTAACTCGTCAATCAGTCAAAAATTCTTAAGAATAAATGTATACATGTAATTAGAGAAGAAAAAAGGAAATTCTACGATAAACAAATCGATAATAACAAGTGCGACAGTGTAAAGATGTGGAAGACTTTAAAAAGACTGACCAATTCGAAGCCGCATGATTGTGTAAATCAAGTTCAATTCGAAAACGGTACCGAAACAAATTCTTTGGTGATTGCAAACAAACTAAATGAATATTTTGTGGAAAGTATTGTTGATATCGTGGGTACTGCCAATGCTGCACCTGACTATATGCAAATCAGTTTCCAGCGGGAAATGTTGCATACACTTTCAAAATTTCACAGCGTATCATTGAATTATCTAAGAAAAAAAGTAAACAGTTTAAAATCAAATAACAACTGTGCCGAAATCACTACTAAAAACGTGCTGAAAAACTGTTTCGAACTTTTGGGATATCTGGTATTAAATTGGATCAATTGTTCACTGAGGAGCAGTTCTTTTCCTGAAAATTTGAAATGCTCTACAATAACACCAGTTCCCAAAATAAAAAAATTCTAAAAGATGCAGCGATATGAGACTAGTAAATGTGTTACCAGACATTGAAACATTATTAGAGTCCATAGCGCATGACCAATTAATGCAATTTATAGAAGAAAACAAAATTTTAGTGGAGGCGCAAGCAGGCTTTCGAAACAAATATTCCACAGAAGCGGCTTTCCAGTTGGTAACTGAGAATTGGAGAAGAGCCATAGACTCAGAAGAAGTTGTCATAGCAGTATTTTTTGATTTGAAGAGGGTATTTGAAACGATTGATAGAGATATTTTCTTAGGTAAATTGAAGGCATATGGTATAACAGGAAGTGTTTTAGATTGGTTTAGAAATTATTTGTCTAAAAGGATGCAAGTTACAAAAGTTAATGACACCATTTCATCAAAAATTGAAAATACGTTGGGTGTTCCACAGGACAGTATCCTGGGACCACTTCTTTTTATTTTATACATAAATGATTTACCTGCCATAGTCAAAAAATGCAAAATTCAGAGACACTATGATTTATATAAGTACTAAGAATATTCAGTCTGGTATCTCTTATATAAATGAAGACTTGAAACTTGTCTCAAAATGGTTAGCATCTAACAGACTAAAATTAAATACAAGTAAATCGAAAGCCTTGTTAATCGGAAAAAGACAATGTACAAATGTTCAACTGAATATTAATGGTGAAGATATTGAATTCGTAGAAAATTTTAAATACCTGGGGGTTTTTGTTGACTCTCGATTAATTTTTGATATTCATTATGAAAAAGTTATAAATAAGATTAGTACTAAAGTGGGATATTTATCGAGAGTTTCTGGATGTCTGAGTTCATATAGCAGAAAAATTATCTATAATACCATCATTCTTCCAAATTTCTTGTACTGTTCGACTATTCTATATTTAGCAAATAATTCCATTTTTGAAAGACTGCAAATTTTACAAAATAAGTGCATGCGAATAATACTAAATAAAGATAAATATACTCCAATTAGGCAAATGCTTAGCACATTAAAATTACTCAACGTAAAAAATTTTATCAAATATCTTGTAATGATATTCATTTATAAAGTAAAAAATAATATATTTCCATCAAGTCTAACTAATCATCAAATGTCGACCATCATTTATATAATACCAGAAATAAAGATGACTTCCATTTAATGATCAAAAGGTATAACATACGCTACAAATCTGTATTCCATCAAGGGTTGATTGAATATAATAAATTATACTCAGAGATAAAAGACCAGAAAACTTTGACAAAATTTAAAGTAAAATTGAGAAATCACTTGTTAAATCTACAATTATAGGTTGCCCAGCATTTACATCATACAACCATATGGCTTGAATTTACAAGTTCTAAATTGTTTACAATTATTCCGTTAATGTAGCCAAATGTGCTAAATAAATCTTTCTACTACTATTACTACTACTAGTTATTTGACCTTGACTATGACCTTCAAAGCTTTCGACCTTAGCCGTTATCGGTGTCAAAAATAGAGGATATCTATTGAAAAATGGACTTGACCATGAAGTGACCTTTAATGTCAAGGTAAAATTCAAGGACACTGTTAGGTAGCGAGGGAAAACTGACAAGCTTATGTTTAGGTAGATTTACTTCACACTTATAGCCTCTGTAAAAGAAATTCGCCATTTGTATGGTTAACAGGTCACCTCTTGTACGTATGATTAAGTACGTAGGTGGGTTTGCCACTGTTAGTTTCTTTAGGTACCGTGAGTCCGCTCACACGTACACAAAAACTCGCTACGTTCAGCAGTGGCGTACGATATGCTATGCTACTCTCTTCCGTTTTGAAATCACGTAAAAAACGTTACTTGAAGCTGTAAATTACTCATTGAAAATTGCAACCAACACTGATTTTTTGTAATTCTCCAGGATGAAACAGGTAAGTCTCAAAGCAAACAGAAAAAAGACGACGAGGATCAGCCGGTTGAGAATAAGACACCTGTCAAGAAAGAAAGTACGAAAAGTTTGAAAGAAGATAAGAAAAGGGCTAAGATTTGTAAGAGATGTAGTCCTTCTAAAACCACTAAATCAAAACCGAAACAACAGATGAAGAATGTCTGTAAGCCTACTACCAGGATGAAGAAAAGTAAGAAGAAATCAAAACGTGAAAGAGGAACAGCCAACCAGAAGAAAAAATGACTTATATTTTAGTAATATATCTGACGAGTGCAATGTCCACTATTGTATGAGTTATAGTAATAAATGAGTCAACGAGAAATTGAAATGTCATTAATTAGAAATGTATTCAATCAAGAATGCATTCGTATGGAAGAGGGGAATTTAGGGCTAGAGTTAGATGAGCTTTCTTTTCCCGTGAAACTCAGCGAAGCGTTTGAGCGATTTTTATTATTTTGGTTTTTGGCATTTTTCTTCGCCGTTACTGGATCGATTTTCAGGGCCAGATGAAACTCCACGTTATCAAAAAGTCATAGGGTTTGCTATACAACACTTTAAGCGACATGATCTCGATGCATTGTTTTTAGCTACCAATGCTCCTGGAAGAAGTGCGTATAACAGAGTAGAGCGCAGAATGGCTCCTCTTAGTCGGGAACTGGCTGGTTTAATATTGCCTCATGACCATTTTGGGTCTCATTTGGATGAACGTGGCGTTACAATTGATGAACATTTGGAAAGATCTAATTTCGAATTTTGCAGGAAATGTATTAGCTGAAGTATGGAGTTCAATGGAAATTGATGGCTATAATGTTAATGCAAAATATACTAAGTGACATATAAATCCGAACACCCAGTTTAAATGGTTTTATATTAATAAAATTTTGTATAAGTACTTAGTGAAGCATAATAAGTAAATGATAAAAATTTCAAAATGATTGCACTGCTTTAAAGCCCTTTGACCTTTAATAATGTGTGGATGCACCCTGATGTGCTACGCATTCTCCAACGCGCCTAGGCATGCTTCTGATCAGGTGGTCAATGTCCTCCAGTGGTATCTCATTCCAGGCAACCACCAACTCCTCTCGAAGTGCTTCTAGAGTCTGAGGAGGACGTTGCAAATTGAGCAATCTCCTACCCATCATATCCCGCACGTGCTCAATTGGGGATAAGTCGGGAGATCTTGGTGGCCATGGTAACAATGTGTCATCATTATGTTGAAAGAAGTCTATTGTGACTCTTGCAACATGTGGTCGGGCATTATCTTGTTGGAAAGTTGGATCTGCCAGGGTGTCATGATAGGGTAAAAGATGGGGTTCTAGAACTTCGTGGATATAACGCTGCGCGTTCATGTTACCTCTGATGAAGATTAAAGGTGACCTGGAACCATAAGCTATAGCACCTCAAACCATAACTCCAACAGTATGATGAACATGTCTTTCAACAAAAAACTGTGGATTCCTCCTTTCACCACGTCGCCTTCTAACCCTGGCACGACCATCGTGCATGCCTAAACAAAATCGAGACTCGTCACTAAAGACAATACTGTTCCATTCCTGATTCCAGAGTGACCGTTGTCTGCACCACTCAAGGCGATTACGTCGGTGTTCTCGAGTTAAAGGGAGGACCCAGTGTGGCCGGTATGAAAACAAGCCAAAACTTCTCATTCGTCGGTAAACACTTCGCATGCCAATAGGTCTTCCGTGTTCTGCAAACCATTCATTTGCAATGGACCTGGTAATGGAGAAACGGTCCCTTAAGGCCAATAATCTTAGGCGGCGATCTTCACGGTCTGTTGTTCCACGGCGGCGTCCAGTGCCCCTTGCTCTTTGCGTACGGCCTTCTCGAAGCCATGCCTGACAACACCTAACCACAGTGTCTACACTTCTTTGCACTCTAACTGCAATTGCCCGAAAAGAGAGTCCAGCTTCCCGAAGTGCCACTATACGGCCCCTATCAAACTCACTAGGTTGACGAAATCGTACAGGTCTCCGTACTCTAGGCATCGTAACCGATCGTAAAGGATGTCAAGAACCAAAATCCGCCAACATTGATTCTTTACTGCGGCTGAAATATTCATTTTTAGATGGTTAGTGAATTAAAAAAAAAGCAGTATAAAAACAGGAATGTCCAACTGATAAGGCTGAAAATTTTTTCACTTGTTATTTACAGTAAGATAAACACATTCACCAACTTTTATTAAAACAAAACAATTTAAACTGGGTGTTCGGATTTATATGTCACTTAGTATATGTTGGGGCAGGTGAACAAGATCTTCCTGATTTTCCAGACATTAAATGGTATTCAGAGCATGTGCGTGAGAGCCAATACTTGCTTCAAATTGTAAAATGTAGAAATACAGAATGCTGTCGTCCAAGAAGTGGCCTATTTAGATTACTAGACAATAGGTTTCTTCCACCACCTGTAAAAGTAAAACAAACAGTTGATGACTTGGTTTTGGATGAAGGAGGGCAATTTATTAATCTTCCAGTCAATTTAGCTCTACGCTTAAGTGCTTCACTCAAAGATTTCCTGCAAATGCCCTACGATTATTTTTGGCCGACGGTAAAATTGAGGCTATCAAGTCGAACATACAAAACGTGTGGTCTTTATCATGCTTCAGTCAAGTCACTAAATCGTCACATCGGAAATATCCATAAAAAAGTGAACACGCACACTGATAGAAAAGTTAGACCTGTAAGAGTCGCTGCTCGTCGTGCTAATGAACTGATGTGCATTATTCAAAATTTAGAGCGCCATGATGTTGAATGGCTCGATGAAAACGAGCAAACTCACAACACTAAGCAGCAATCGAAGCAATCCAATGTCATCGAAAACATAGAATCACGGATTCGGGTTTCATGGACTGAAGACTGTTAATTTGAATTTAATATATGTACCAAAAATTTAAAATAAGTTTGTTAAATTTATTTTCTTATTTTTCAAATTATAATTATAACGTTATAATTATAATATTAAAAAAACAGTACATTAATTGACAAATGTTTACGTAAGCATGGGGGGGGGGGTAAGAGCTTTGCTTACTTTTGCTGACAGGGGGGGTTGGGGGGGTAAATAATTGTAATAAATCTGCTTACGTAATACTTGAACGGCCCCCTACCGACAATCTGAGCGAAAAACTGGCACGAGTTTCAACAAGTAATAGACCATCACTACCAAGGAATCTCGATCATTTCCATACAACTGCGTAAATCTCGATCGAATCCGTATAATTATGTGGAATGTTTTCTGGGACATCCTGTATACACCGCACCCTGTATGTCTCGAAACCCTGGAGCGCATCCGACTGCGCGCAAGATATTTCAGGATCGATAACGGCTTCCGTTCCCTTCAAGAGGGACATAACCAAACCCATTTTTCGTAATTTATGAAAATGTTATCAAGAATGGCCAAACGGCTAGAAAAAGTAACTCACAAAATAGGTAACGACTTCCTTCTCATATAAATATTTTCTTTTAATATTTCGTATTTATTTTTCAGAAAAATATGTGAGGTTTTCGAGTAACCTAGTGCAAGGTGAACCCCAAGGTCCTTGTATAAGAACTGAACTCCCAGGACCAACGGCTAGGCAAATCCAAAATGATTTGGGAAAAATTATGGTAACGAAGTAAATGAATGTGAAAAATAATTTTATAATGCATGTTTTTACCATTGCAGGATAAGGCGGTAAGTAGAAATACTTCAGTAGACTGAAGTGGGAAGTTAAGATTTTTTTGTGGAAAAAATACAATCAGCTGCTATGAGGTAATATTTTGAAAAAAATTGAAATAAGTTCCAGACTGTTTTTTGAGCTTCATGGGACGTGTGTAAAGAAGCTATCATCATTTTTGTTCCGTATTATAGCAAAACATTAATCATCCCTGTTCGTCTGGTTGTGAAATGAAACAAGATATGTATGAATTACCGTTTCCTGACACGACGTTTCAGCCACCATAGTTACCTCTCCCTTTTTTTACGACAAAGAAGCCTAAATACCAGTTCACCGCGCCTGCTATGAGGAGCTCAAAGAAACTTTTGAACTGCCTAATGTCAGTAGAATTGAGAAAAGCCCCCTTAGGTAGATTGTTTCACAGTCTCGATACCCTAGGGACGAAGGAGCGGTCGTATCGACCAGTTCTGGATGTACGAAGTTCGACACGCTTAGGATCGGCGGTAGCCCTGTCTGGCAGGCACATCTCGCGGCGGCATCATGGAGGAGCAAAGCTCGTTGACATAACGGTAAAAGAGAGTGAGTCAGTCAGACAGCCTTCCTCTGAGCAGCATTGATCGTAGAGGTTATTCGGGGCGGCAGCACCAAAAACTTGTGAGCAGTACTCGGGTGTAGATCTTATCTAGGCCTTATACAGAGTGTAGAAAAGTACTACTGATCCTTAAAGAGTACAGCAGCTGCCACTATTGACGAAATGTGTTCGTGCCAGATCAAGTCCTCTGTGATCTGGACTTCGACCAGACAAAATAAATGACCTTTGAGTAGAAGTCGATCATCCATCGAGACCTAGGGCGCTTCTTGTTAGTCAACAGTACTGTTTTGGAAGCATCAATTTTTTCAAGTACAAATGACATTCTTATACCGTGGTGCCGATAAACAGTAACTCAAACATATGTGGTTTCATTTAGTAACCAGACAAACACAGAATCAGTTTCAGGTATTACATTAACCAAAACGTTAATTTGGGATGCACAAAATATGTTTAAATTGCTTAATTGTTGTGATTTCAGATAGTGAATCCGATGAAAATAATTGGTAACTACGACAAGTCTATAGGAAACTACTTTGTGGATGCTGATGATAATATATTTTTGGATGTTTATACACAAATATCAACCGTACCATTAGGCTACAACCACTCCGCCCTTTTGAATGTATTCAAAGATGAGCATAACTTGGTAAGCTAACTTTTATCACATTTTTCCATAATTAATTTACAAAAACAGCCAACGAGCTCGATTACTCAAAACATGGTGAACATTTCTATGGCATGGTATAGCATATTATACTCAAAATCAACGAAGAAAATTGAAAATACATTATGTACAGGGCTTGTCCGGAAAGTAATAGGACTGAGTCGATTTAAACAAATTTATTGAGCCAGTCGTTACAATTCTTTAAAAACTTTCAAAATAGGCTCCTTCTGCGTCGATGCAGCGCTGCCAGCGCGATTTCCAAGCATTGAAGGCACTCTCCGTCGTCTCAAAATGTTTGCCTTTCATCGGCCTTTTCAGGCGAAGAAACAAAAAAAAGTCCGGGGGGGCCACATCTGGGCTGTAGGGCGGCTGCGGAAGCGTTGGGATGCCGACCTTGGTCAGGTAGCTGTTCACAAGAAAGGCGGTGTGAGCCGGGGCGTTGTCGTGGTGCAACTTCCAGTCGGAGGCGATGTCTTGTCGGACCCGACTGACCCTTCGTTTGAGCCTCCTGAGCACTTCCACGTAAAACTTGGCGTTGATGGTTTGGCCAGGAGGAACGAATTCATGGTGGACTATGCCTTTGATGTCAAAAAAAAAAACAATGAGCATCGTTTTCACTTTGGATTTGCTCATTCTTCCCTTTTTTGGGCGAGGAGACGCCGTCGTGTGCCACTCGGAAGATTGCCTCTTTGTCTCGGGATCATACTCGAAGATCCACGACTCGTCACCTGTGATTACGTTTTTCAAAAATTGGGGCTCACTTTCGCACATGTTCAAATTTTCTTGGCACACTTCCACTCGCCGCAATTTCTGGTCGTCAGTGAGCACTTTTGGGAGCATCTTCGCGCACACCTTGCGCATGTTCAAATGCTGTGTCACAATGTCATGAACCACATATTTTGGTGAATTTAACATCTAGGCAATTAAAAGAATACTTAGTCGACGGTCTGAGTTCAAAACTTTGCACACACGAGTCACATTATCGGTGTTTGTCGAAGTCGAAGGTCTTCTTGCACGGTCTTCATCAGCGACCTCTTCCCGGCCCTCCAAAAAGGCCTGGTGCCACCGAAACACACTACTTCTTGCTAAAGCAACACCTGGGTAAGCCTGCTTGATCATATCAAACGCCTCTGTCGCAGATTTACCGAGTTTCACACAGAATTTAATCGCGTAAATCTGCTCTAACGAACGCTGCATTTTCGGCTTGCACCACTCACAGAAACACGTCGCGCGAAAATGCCTGTCCTGACTCTCCAAGTGCTCGGAGACAACTGACCAGCCGCTCGTTCGTTAGCTAGGAACGCCCTCTACCGAATAAAGTCGCACGCTCCGAAGTACAGTCATGGCGGAAGAAAATGAGTCCTATTACTTTCCGGACAATCCCTGTATATAAAATGAGTATCTCTATACTAAATATATCTATATACAGTTTAATGGCACCACATTTGACCATCAATCATTTTTTTAAGTAGAAACACTATTGTCGCATTAAAAATAAGTTACAACGCTTATTTTAGAGAACATTAGTCAACAGGCCATCGCTAGGAGTCTTCCCTGGTGTCGATTGGGCATCAAGACTAGAGAGTATCTGCAAGTCGGTAAGTGAGTCTTAATTAAAGGTCGTTTGAAACACACGGTATACCGGGTGACTGCGAAGTTGAGTCATTTATTTTAACAGTGAGTAGATCTGATCAAAAGAAATGTTTTTTTCTTTAACATTTTTGTGGTAAAATTAAAGTAACAAAGTTATAGCCCTTTAGAAGTTTGAGTACCGCCCTGTCTCAATAATAATATTATGTGCTCGTGTTTGGCAACAACGGATATAATCCGCCTTATCGGTTCATCGCATCGGAAACAAAAAAGCGAATTTGAAAGGCTTATCACGATGTTTTTACTACAATTTTATTCAGTTGTATTCAGTCAATGTGTCAGTCGGTAACGCGTGAGTGAATAGTGGTGTTTGTTACGTGGCTCAAACGAAATAAAAAATGGCACATGTTTACGAATATGCTGAACTTGTGGACATGATTCTTATTTACGGGGGGGGGAGGGAGTCTTTACAAAATGCTGCCGCAGATTTATGCGGATCGGTTTCCCAATCGAGTGCAACCAACCCCTCGTGCCTTTGTTAATGTAGTACAAAGGGCTCGTGAATCAGGTGACTTAAGACCTCGCAGGGGAGGGCATGCCGGTGCTCCAAGACCGCACGATCAAATACAGGTCCGCACTGAAATACTTGTCGGGAGGATACTTTATAAAACAAGGTAACATTTTTTTTAATTTTTTTTTATTTTTACACACATATTTTGGTTTATCTTCCTTCTACAATCATTATCTGAAAACTAATGACTCAACTTCAGAGTATGTGCATCTGGCCTTGAATTTGCTCTAAAGCCCTGTGCCCAAAAAGTATCTTCGCATCTGCTCGGACAAATATTCTGCATCTGGGTTCTGCAAACTTTTTAAAAAAAAAAAACCTTTAATTGAGTATGCATGTTTCCAGGTCCGAAGCTGCGTAAAAATTGTTTGAATAATTTTTTAAGCAAATTCCATAAATTGGTTTTCTCGAACTAGGTCTTAAGGATTATTCGAAACAAGAAAATTTTGTATGAACTTTTCTCTAAAGTTAATAATGTTCGAAATATAAGCGAATTAATATTTGAAAAAGTGCAAAACATGTCATATTTGACTCCGAAGAACAATATGAAAAAACAAAAATTTTAATGCTGCCAATGCTCTTAAATATTCTTCAAATATCTCAAGGCGTTTTAAGGAGTATTGTAATTGTAAAGCTTTGCTTTTCAGTTATTAGTCAAGCCTAATCAAGTGCAAATATTAAGTCGCTCATATCTCGAGAACTGTCAATTTTAGAGAAGAGTTCATGGGAACATTTTTTTCTTTAGAATGATGAAAAAAATTATAATGTGTCTAAAAAACAGTATAATCAATTTTTGATGCAATTTTGGGATACTTCTACACTTTTGTGCCAGCACATACAATCTTCGTAAAATCGTATCGCTTTTAGGACAAAAGTGCTCCAAAACTTTCGGGAGAATCCTTCGGTCCACGTTTTATGTTCGTATTTGTTTTCAGGTGTCGCCAAAACTTCCGCATTTAACGACAATGATGTGCGGCGCCTGCGCGAATGAAAACGCTTTCAAAAGCGCATTCATAGCGTACCGAACAAGAGAAAGAGGCGGAAGTTCAGATTTTAATAAAGAAGAATTAGAAAGTTGCATGAAAAACCAACCCCCTGGCGCACCGAAACTTGCAGTGCTCTCATTCACTGATGCATTTCATGGACGATCGTTAGGGTCATTGTCTACCACACATTCTAAGGTAAAGAAGCTATTTAATGATATAAAATTTTGGAAAAAATGACAATTATGTTAGGTAGGTAACTGGCAGAAAATTAAATTCTTTCTTCCCCTAAGCAACAAATAACTAAACAGGTATAACAATAAATACAGTTCGTCCAGGATATATGTATTGATGCGGAAAAAAATTCTGGTTGTTATTTGGTTGCTGCTACGTCTAATCTTCCGAATTGTTGTTTATGTTATATAGTTTCTGTTTTGAATTATAAACGAATTGTAGATTTGGCAAACTCTAACGGGCAACATTTTGAGCACTTATCGGAATAAAAAGTGATATTTTCGTGTGTTTTTGTTATCTATCTGAACAAATTAAGATAAATAAATATTTTTCTAATTTTCTCGAAAACGAACCGACTGATTTTAAAAAATCATACGTCAAAATAAAGGGCTTTGAAAGACCTTTCAAACAAGCTATTACTGGATACCTCTTGTCGTTTAAAATTTTTAAGGAGTGACCCTGGGTGGCTGAGTATGAAAGGGGATGAAGCAGTTTTTGGTTAAAAAGATGGCCCGTTTGACAACGTGCCTCGGCGTTTTTTCTTGTAATCGGTAGTTACATTATTCATTGTAGATTATTAGAGAAAATACTAGACTTTACCAAGAGCTCGGAGTTGGAAAAATAGTCTGTCTTGCCCAATGCGTAACACATCCTCATTTCTTTTATATGAATATTTACAGGCTATACATAAAATTGACATCCCTGCTTTTGACTGGCCATTTGCACGTTTTCCGAAATATAAATATCCTCTAGAAGAAAACATGCGCGAAAATAAAGAGGAGGATCAAAGGTCATTGGGAGAGGTAGAGGAGCTTATTGAAAAGTAAGTACTTAACAATGGAAAATTTTCTTTAAACTGCAAGACTGTTATAATTTATATCGTATACACAACTTATTCATACAGCTATTATTGCTTTTGTTAACATTGAAATATACTATGTTTTTTGTACTTTTTTGGAATTAAGTGGCAGAATAGAACTATACTAGACTTCGCCCCTAATAAAGACGATTATTATTATCTTCCTTTATTCATCAATCATCCTCAAAATCCACCAAAAATCAACAATAGTAGTTAATCAGTTTATTCACAGTAAATAATTTTGTCAGGTAGATACATGAATTCTTATTTTCTTCACTTTTTGGTTTGTCAGAATAGAAAAAAACGTGATATCGAAACTAAAAAAAACTACAAAATCACCGAGCTCATATTGTAAGCCAATTCTTGAATCTTGTCTTTTATAAACTGCCAAGAAACCAAAGAGTATCTTACGTCTACAAACTTCCTTTTCATATACTAAGTGACATATAAAATCCGAACACCCAGTTTAAATGGTTTTATTTTAATAAACTTTTGTATAAGTACTTAATGAAGCATAAGAAGTAAATAATAAAAATTTCAAAATGATTGCACTGCTTTAAAGCTCTTTGACCTTTAATAATGTGTGGATGTACCCTGATGTGCTACGCATTCTCCAACGCGCCTAGGCATGCTTCTGATCAGGTGGTCAATGTCCTCCTGTGGTATCTCATTCCAGGCAACCACCAACTCATCTCCTACCCATCATATCCCACACGTACTCAATTGGGGATAAGTCGGGAGATCTTGGTGGCCATGGTAACAATGTGACATCATTATGTTGAAAAATGTCTATTGTGACTCTTGCAACATGTGGTCGGGCATTATCTTGTTGGAAAGTTGGATCTGCCAGGGTGTCAAGATAGGGTAAAAGATGGGGTTCTAGAACTTCGTGGATATAACGCTGCGCGTTCATGTTACCTCTGATGAAGATTAAAGGTGACCTGGAACCATAAGCTATAGCACCCCAAACCATAACTCCAACAGTGTGATGAACATGTCTTTCAACAAAAAACTGTGGATTCCTCCTTACACCACGTCGCCTTCTAACCCTGGCACGACCATCGTGCATGCCTAAACAAAATCGAGACTCGTCACTAAAGACAATACTGTTCCATTCCTGATCCCAGAGTGACCGTTGTCTGCACCACTCAAGGCGATTACGTCGGTGTTCTCGAGTTAAAGGGAGGACCCAGTGTGGCCGGTAGGAAAACAAGCCAAAACTTCTCATTCGTCGGTAAACACTTCGCATGCCAATAGGTCTTCCGTGTTCTGCAAACCATTCATTTGCAATGGACCTGGTAGTGGAGAAACGGTCCCTTAAGGCCAATAATCTTAGGCGGCGATCTTCACGGTCTGTTGTTCTACGGCGGCGTCCAGTGCCCCTTGCTCTTTGCGTACGGCCTTCTCGAAGCCATGCCTGACAACACCTAACCACAGTGTCTACACTTCTTTGCACTCTAACTGCAATTGCTCGAAAAGAAAGTCCAGCTTCCCGAAGTCCCACTATACGGCCCCTATCAAACTCACTAAGTTGACGAAATCGTACAGGTCTCCGTACTCTAGGCATCGTAACCGATCGTAAAGGATGTCAAGAACCAAAATCCGCCAACGTTGATTCTTTACTGCGGCTGAAATATTCATTTTTAGAGCGTTAGTGAATTAAAAAAAAGCATTATAAAAACCGGAATGTCCAACTGATAAGGCTGAATTTTTTTTCACTTGTTATTTACAGTAAAATAAATACATTCACCAACTTTTATTAAAATAAAACCATTTAAACTGGGTGTTCGGATTTATATGTCACTTAGTATATGTTTTTCGGGTACCCTTGTAATTCTTGACAATGGTAATTCCCATTTGATTTCTCAAAAATATTCAAACACTGCTTGTCCGGTTTCAAATCTGCGATCACATATTTAGATATTTGAGTAAATTCGACAAACATCAATTTTGTAGGTGGAGAAAGAAAGGAATACCAGTAGCAGCTTTGATAGTAGAACCAATTCAATCAGAAGGTGGTGACAACCATGCTTCTCCGGAATTTTTCAGCAGTCTTCAAAGCATTTGTAAGAAAAATGGTGTCTTTTTCATTATCGATGAAGTCCAAACAGGGTGCGGACCTACCGGAAAATTCTGGTGTCACGAGTATTTTGATCTGGATACTCCACCAGATGCTGTTACGTTCAGTAAGAAAATGCAGATGGCTGGGTTTTTTCACAGTGAAGAGATGAGGTAAGAAACAACAACAATGCGGTGCTTTTATTCCAATTGAAGCTGTAAGAAGACTTTGTTTCTGTATTGAACTAACATAATATCATTTTGAACCTTTCGGGTACCGACAGTAGCTTGACAAAAGGAACCTGATTGATCTACATAATTTGTATACATTGCGCGAAGAGGTGGCCCCAAAGCGGTGCCTTGGGGACTCTGTAATGCATGCTTGTTTGAGCGCTGATCGTTTAAAAAACGTGCTTTTCCAGCTTGATGTCATTTCTGATATGGTCACTTGAATACTTGTACTTGAAATAAATACTGTGCCGACAATATTTTCAAAATATCACGAATTCGTTTTTCAGTCCTCATCTACCCTTAAGAGTGTTCAACACGTGGATGGGTGATCCAGGCAAAACATTGCTCCTCCAAGCGGTTTTGGATGTTATCAAAAGGGATAACCTCTTGGAGCAAGTTCAAAAGTCCGGAAAAAGGCTGCTAGAAGGGATGAAAGACTTGGAAAAGGAGTTTTCGCCCCTAGTACATTCATCAAGAGGACGGGGAACGTTCATTGCTATCACAGCAAGAAATGCGGAAATAAGGGATGATATTGTGCAACAGATGTACAAAAAAGGTTAGTGTTTACGTCTAAAAGCAATCAGAATACTTATTATTAGTGGAATAGTGGGATACTTTGTCCTGAATACGAGGCCTGTAAATTAAGTAATGAGATTGGCAACGTAGCAATATAAAATTGTAATTATGTTCGAATAAAGAAATAAAAAAAATCAGTCTCATCACTTGATTTACAGACCTCGAATTATTAGTAGAATAGTGGAATACATAATTATTCTTAATACGGAAGTTTCTAAATTAGCAGCAAAACGATAAAAAGATGTGCCTATAACAGAGCAGGGGGATGAGTCTTAAGGCTAAAACACATCAATGTCACGACACGTGAACTCAAAACTTATTTCTCAAAGTCACGTATCGAAATCAAAATTGGAGGATTGACAGAACCATAAGCGCCTATAGAATGTTTATTAACATGTACATGCCCTTTTTGTATAAGTAATGTTTCATGTATCGTGATTGAACGATGTAGCTTGTGAGCTTCCGAGATTGTGCGTGGGGTCACGTTACGTGATTTAAAGTTTCCGCCTTTATCGTTTAAATATTTTTGTATGACTTCTTTCTTGTAGGTATCATCACAGGAGGTTGTGGTCAAGATTCGCTACGGTTGAGACCGGCTTTGGTGTTTCAAGAACACCATGCTGACATTTATCTTGAAGCTTTGAGAAGCGTGCTGGCAGATATAAACCAAAATACGAAAAAGTTCTAGGGCGCGCACAAGTTGGTCGTTTACCTAAACTGAAATGATTTAGATAATTTTAATTTAAACGTTAAAGCATTCCAGGTAACTCAAAGGCGGACTTAGGAATCTGTATAGGGGGGTCGCGGGATTCATCTTCAGGCAAAGGCGTACCTAGGAGGGGCAAGTGGGAACTGGAATTAGAAAAACGAGTTTTGACGGATTTCACAATCCTTGAATTCTTCAAATAAACTCTTGACAACGTCTTAAAGTTAGACTCTTAAAGTTTGACTTCTTTTTGAATTTTGTCTTATCTAAGGAAATTTTTGATTGCGATGAGAACCATCAGAAACGAAAAAAGAAGATAAAGTCAAGGTTAGGGGTGTTATAGATTCTTTGGAAATTATACTATACTATAACTATCTAAAACTGTAATGACTCATCGATGTTCACGTGAACATCACTTAACTACCAGTAGTCGGCTGTTCATAGGCGGGGTATGAATGTTTAACATGGGTGAACTAGATTTGTCACATGCTTAATAAAGTCTGGTTTGAAACATATTGTAAGTCAAAAATTTGGGAATTACCTTTATTCATCGTCGCTTCCACTTACATCTGACAGTAATAAACTGTCGCTATCGCTTTCCTCGTTGAAATTGACTATAACTGGCTCTATGATGGTGTCGATGTGGTGGTCAAGCTGCCACATTTTTGTTTCTTCCTTCACAACATGACGGATAGCATTCTGCCAAGCTCCGGGCGTTACTAGCTGTATGGAAGTCTCAAGTAAAACCTTAACGTCTGGTAATTTGAAGGTTGTGTTATGGGGCGCAATATAACCCTTCACTTGAGCCCAGATGAGCTCTATTGGGTTCAGTTCACCGTGGTAGGGCGGTAACCGCAGCACAGTGACACTACATTGACGGGCCATCTCATCAGTCACGTAACGTTTTTCGAGATCCCATAGTCGGTACACGTTCGGCTCGACGACTATGGTAGGAAGCATTATCCATGACGATCACAGAGTTGGGCTCAACTCGCTGAAGCATCCCTTGAAACCAGCTCTCGAAGCAGCTGGCATTCATTTCGTCATGGTAATCACCTCCTTTCTTAGAGACGAAAATCAAGTCACACTCTTCTAAAAAGCCACTATCGCTACCAATATGAGTTACGATCAATCTTTGACCTTTCCCTGACGGTCCACGAAGACCTGTTGACAAACCTTCAATGCTTGCTTGTCGGTTACTCACTACGTTTTTGTCTATCCAGGTTTTTTTAACTGTGTGACTTGCATTTACCCATGTCTCGTCCAAATAATAGATTTTTCTGCTTTGTCGCCTATATTCAATCATTTCGCGTAGGTATTTTCGACGCCAGGCGACTATTTCAGGTCTCTCTATCAATACTGACTTCCGATTACGCGTTTCGTAACGAAAATTAATTTCGTGCAGGGATTTCCTCATTACCTCGACGCTCATTTGGGGTATAATTTCATTTTCCTTGATCGCTGCATGTACAGCCTTGAGGGTTGGTATCTCATTCCTAAAGAAGAATGAATGTACGGTTCGCCTTAACGCCATTTTGCTATCGTCATCCAATTTAACGGCCTTTCGTCCCTTCAAATTAAACTTTGGATCAGTAGTAGCTCCAGTTTTCTTCTTTTCATGCACCACCCTACGAATGGTCCACTCTGGAACGCCTGTCATACTTTCACAACGCGCGACTGCAAACACGTTCCAATGCGTTGCCGACGCCTATGAGTCTGCCGGTCGAGGCGCGTCTTTGATTTCATTGGTTCTACCGGCGGAGAACAATCAGCCATTAGTTCCATCTCTGCCTGTGCTGTTGACCACCGCAAAGCCACAGAAACGACATATGTCGTACGCTATACGGCTGTACTGGAAGGAAGCCGGGATCGAGCTCTGATCACGTGTTGATCACGCGTATGAGTCATTACAGTTTTAAATAGTTGTAGTATAGTACCATTAGACAGGCCTTTCAAAATTCCAGCGAATCTTTACAATTACTACAGGACCGATTAAGAAAAACTACAAATATTTTTCTGTTTGTAATAGAAGCCCAAAGATTATCTAACGAACGTCACAAAAAATGTACCTACTATGCTATATCTCAAAATTATTCTTCCGTTTGAAGTTTATTCGCGATGTTTGAATTTTGAGGGAAATGTACATACGCCCAAAAAATAGATATATAAAATGCAGTATAGCAAACGTTTGTCATATATTAACTCAAGTATTACTTAAACAAGCATCCCGCGCAATATTTGCTTGGATGTTTCGAAAAATTAAACTTAGTCGTACGCCCTTGTCTTCAGGAAGATGTTTATATCAGTGCGGGGGGTAGGGGAGGTTAGGCCGCTACCGACAATTGCAAATTCAAGAGCAGGAGAAAAGGGGCTATAAGCTTAAAAAGATTCTGAAATCAAATGATGTCCTTGTGACAATTGAAGGGCTAAGGAGCACGTTTAATCAATGTCTTCCAAAAACTTGTCTTCCATTTTACTATTATACATTCTTATTATATACAAAAAATATTTGTAATCATATATGTTGAAATATAATTGTCTATTAGTTCAGCTGTTGTTTAAACTTTGGTAGCCAAGGTATAATATCAGTATATCAGGCTAAATACACACGACGGACCCTATTTAAAAAAATAATCTATGGAGAGTGTTTGCAACGGAATTATATTCTTAAGGATAGGACCATAAGAATATCAAAAGTGTTGCTGGGTCACTTTTTATCAAATAACTAATTTGTAAAAATCACGTTTTGCCTATATTCAAAAAATTATGAAATATTAGTCTAAGTCAGAATTCCCCAAACTTTTTTGTGTCGTAGACCCCTTGCCATGTTTTTCCGTGTTGGGTAAACCCCCTACTTACCTGATATTGATTTCCTGTAAATTTCTAACTGTAGTGAAGTTTAGTGTTAAAAACTTAAAGTAAAAACACATGTTGATTTACCCACTGATTAATTGAATTTAAATTAAAACTACTTAAAATAAAGTTTTGTATCTGTTATGTAAAATATACGTAACATTAAATAAACAGGTGTCTGACCAATAAATGCCAGCATTGGGAATAAGTGAAAAATAATAAAAAAAAAAAGTTTTTTACTTAAAATAGTACAATAAGCGAGTTCAGTGTGAAGGAGTAATTGATGAAAGTGTTCGTCATTTTCTTCACACAACTGCGCAAATAACCGCGTAATCAACGCGTTGCTTAGGATTCGGTTTACTGCATCAATTACTAAATGAAGTGATTCATGCAATCTAACACTCAAATTTTTAGCAACTAAATGTTGTCGATGGATAACGCAATGTACTGCTAACACCGCTGACACATTTTGTTTTAAATAGCTTATAAATCCACGATAACGTCCAACCATGGCAGGTGCTCCATCTGTAGCTACTAATATTATATTTGATAAAGGAATTGGTTTTTCAATGAAGTAATCCTTCAAAACATGAAATATTGATTCACCTTTAGTGTCGGTTATCAAAGTTCTTGCGAAGAGCAGTTCTTCGTAGATTCCTTGACTCATAATAAAACGAACATATGCCAATAATAATGCTGCATTATCAGGTAAAGTTGACTCATCCAGTTGTATAGAGAAATGGGTCGTTTGCAAATAATTACATAAGAAGCTTTCAATATCAAAACTCATTTCATCAATACGTCTTTCAACAGTATTGTTGCTTAAGGGAATTCTTTTAATGATATCAGATGCAGGTTTGTGTAAAACAGTTTTTAAAACCTCTTCAACGGCTGGCAAAATTAACTTCTCTCCGATAGTATGCGGTTTTCCGGATTTTGCTATAAGTAACGAGATACTGTAAGACGCCCGCAAACCATCATCATTTCTTTGTGACGTCGAAGCGAACATTCTGTCCAGTGTAGGTCTCTTCTGAAATTTATCTTTGAGTGTTTGAAAGTATTTCAAATCTTTCTCTGTTTTATCAGGGTGGCATCTTTTCAGATGATCTTGCAGTTTAGATGGTTTCATAACGTCATTGCCCAAAACTTTGTTGCATAAAAGGCACATAGGCGATTGTTTGTCCGGCAATGATGGAATGAAGCCAAATTTCAAATAATCAACACTGTACTGTCTTCATTTCTTTTTAGATTCGGACATGGCATCAGTCATCTGTGGGCAAAATTAAATTATTTAAATAAGACAGAAAATCCAGCAGCTGTATATTAAATATATTTTTTGATTTTTCCGAAAACATTCCATAATTCGAACATCTTCTTGCAACAATTAGCTCGAATTACGGAGATTGCACTGTAATTATATTACCGATTGCTAAAACTTTCAAAAAGAAACTATTGAGGAGTACTCGTGTAATTTTGCATGATTGAATATTTAACTACTAATAACTAAAGTCATGATTGGCGTAATTTATCTATCTTTGCTAACTACGTGTACAAAACTAAAATTTAATAAAAAATAATGTACTTACTTTTCTCCAGCACTCTCAAACAACATAACACTGACTCTCTATAATTTGTGTGATATACTATCTGTTTATATTTTTTAAAATATTTTCTTAGCACTTTCCTTTTCAAGATTCAGGAAACGAATAAACGTATTTGTCCCACATTCGTATTTATAGAGTGACAAATTGAGCAAGTCAATGCAAGGTAGCGAAGCTCTGAGACTGCGACTCTCAGGTTTTTACAAGTTCAAAATGTATTGCGACCACAAAGCGAATACCAACACCCTACAACTTACACAATTTTTTAAACATATATAATAAATTTTTTACTTCATAGGTACTTTTATAAATAATGTATATGTTTTGATATTATAAGATAGTATGATGTAAGTAAATAGGTACTATCAGTGTATGTGTTGAGGTCCATTATCGTGGACCCCCATATTCATTTCATCGACCCCCAAATTTTTTTTCGCTGACGTAGACCCCTTGCAGGTTGTCATAGACCCCTAGGGGTCGATATAGACCACTTTGGGAATCAATGGACTAAGTGCTCTTCAGAAGTGTTGCAGGGGAATAACAGTCCTTTAAAATGAGACCCGGTGTGGCAATTATGGATTTTCAAACAACATTGTGCATCTTTAAGGTGTTTTTTCTGGGTGCTAATCATCACAAAGGATTTGAAGATACTCACTGCTTGAACTCCATCGTAAAGCAAATAATGTATTCGATAAAATACTTTCAAAATAATTTTTATATCGATATTGAATAACCTTTATCATTTTCGTAAAAAAACACCTTACGCCGACGAAAATGGCCAAAATGTTTAACGATAGAAATCTGGAATTACAAAAATAGTAGCTTATTGAATTGAAAACTTTTACGTTTTGCTGTGAGCTAAGATTATATTTTTAACATCGACGACCGACAGCGCAAAGGTCCACATTGACGAAATAACGACGCAAGCGGCCTTGAATATAAGTAGAAGTAATTTGTCATTGTATGGCAATAACTAGGACTTTTTAATAATTGGTCTTACAAC